ATGCAGCCAGGGAGCTTTAAACACGTGCTTTCCAGGTGGTAAAAAGCAACAGTGATGATACTCTCTGCGTGTGGGGGGTGTAGGTACAACATGTGTTGAACTGGCTAAAGAGTTGGTTTTGTAAACAAGACGTCTGATAGGTTCTATCAGGTTCTAGTGTTCTTTAGGTTCTAGTGTAGGTGCTCATTCCCATGACAGGAATGGGTGAAAACCATCCTGGTTGTACCTACACATTAGAAAGTTACTCGGTATTTTTGCTCTTGTTATCATAACAGTAGACAAAGGGTTGAACTATGCATTGCTACTCTTTAAAGGTTTTGGCTGGAACAGTTGTTTGAGGGTTGTGAAAGCAGTGGGCTGTGGTGCCAGCTTTGCTGATCTAGTGTGTGGCATCAGTGTATTGACCTGTTAATCACATTCTTTTACATTCTCTTCAGAGCAAGTAGCTGATACTGAAAAATAAAGCATGTTAATACAGAGTAAGCAGCAGTTACTGGTTCTGTGTGTATAAGCTGTGAATTAACTGTCACTTGTGCATTGCTGGCTTGTGCACCCTCTCCTTTCAATAAACTGCAGAAACTACATCTGTGGAAGAAGCTTCTGTTGACCACTGTCTCTGCTTCAGCATTCTCTTAAATACATACATGTATTCTGTGGATACAGAAATACCTGGGTTTGACATCTTTAATTTGAATTTTGTTGTGGAGAGCTGATCTTCCCAGTAAAGATCAAGGCAGAAGCAGCTTTATCCTTGTCCTTCATGACCTCCTCCTTATTCCCATTCAGATGCATCCACAGAAATCCTTCTTTTTTTGCCCTTCACATGCTTCACCAGATTGAACTTTTGGTGGGCTTTGGCTTTCCTATCCCCACACCTGCACACCCACAAAGCATCTGTGTGTCTCCCCAGTTGCTTGTCCCTGCTGCCATCTCCTGTGTGTTTCCTTTTCACGGGTGAGTTTTGTCCTGAGCCCTTTGGTCAAGCTCTGCTTGCTTGACTGTTTATCTTGTGGGAGGTGATACTTGAAAAATCAACAGGCTCACCTGGACCCCTTTTCTCTTCAGGACCCTATGCCACAGGATTCTCTCAAGCAGGTCTCTGAACGAGGCCTCTGAAGACTGCTCTGCTGAGGGTTGTGATGCTGCTTTTTGCCGTTTTCCTCCCTCTTGGGATCCCAAATGGTATGTCAAATATTAGGCATTGGGCTTTGCTGTTTGGGTGCGTGTCAGTCTGGAGGAAGCAGTGCTGTGAGCCCTGATGAAATGGCACAGTTGATGCTCATCCCACGGGGAGTGTTCTGTGACAGGTCCCCAGGAGTGAGGTCCAGGCTGAGTCATACCCAGCTGGAAAACTTGCTTCCATTTCAGACACTCTGAGCAGTCACAATCAGGTGGTGGTGTGTGCTGAAGGTCACATTCTTCTGAGTAAGTGTTTGTGTTGGGCGAATGAAAACCTGTATTCCAGGAAGCCCTGTCTCAATTTCCTTGCAAAATAGTTGTAGTTTTCTGTTCCTGATATCTTTAGGAAAATCTGCATAATTATCACAGAGAGCCTGCAGGTTTGGACCTGTTAGGATTAGCACTTTTAAGTTCAACTTTCTGCTAGCAAGAATTTGCCCAGAAGTGAAGTGACTCGAGTATATCTGTGAAACTGGGTTTAGTTTCTGGTTGATAGATAGAGGTAGATACTCATCGTGCAGCTGACTGCAAAGGCTTTAACAACATCTTTCCATTTGGCAGAGTAAATGTACTGCAGTGGAGCAGGAGAAAAACAAGTTTGTTATCTAGTCTCTGTCCTCTTGATGACTTCTGCTGGATTATCATCCCTCGCTGTCACCCTGGAATGGCCAGCCAATAATTTTTGTTCCAGTGATTTAGTAAAATGAAGAGATGGGCAAACGCTTCTATTAGTCTAACCTTGTGTTATCTCTGCTCCCTTACTTTTCCTTGGTTCTGTGTTAGAAGCTCCCACAAACTTCTTTAATTGCCATTTATCAAATAATTCCTCTCAATCCCCAGTGAACAGGTGAAATGCAGGAGAGAGAAGTTACAAATTCCCTTGTGTTCCCTTACACTGGGCTGTAATAAATTTAGTACCAGTTCCAACACGTCCACTGTTAATCTTGATGGTTTGATCATCGTACTGTGAACTTCATCAGCTAGAAGACTGCCTCGATGTCTCTCCTGGAACAGATGATACAAAATAAATAGAAAAGGAGTGCTGTTACTCTAGCAACAAGAATGGTGAGATAATTAACTCTTGTCTGAATTGTGCACTGTACTGAATCTTGGAATGGGCTGTGGGATCAACAGCTCCTCTGTAATGCTGTGAGTACTTCTCAGGATGCTGAGAAGGGTGAGGAAGGCAGTGAGAGCAGACCTTTGGGGTTATGTGGGAAATGGGGAGGGGGTAGAGTCCCTTAGGGAAGCTCTGTATAATAGAAGAATTCATTAAGGTTGGCACTTCGTTAAGAACAGTGTTTTCCAAACACAAGAGCAGTCTGGGAATGCAGGTAGATTGATCTGGGGGACTGTCTTGTCTTCACAGAGATCTCATGGCCAGTCCTAGTGCAGTGTGAGGGAGTTAGAAACAGGAGTGGGCTACAAAGAAAGAATCCACAGACACTGACCATGTCTGTAGGGATGGAATTGATGCTTGCAAGGGATCAAGGTCAACAAGAAAAGCTTTTTGTTACTGTGTTAGCAGGAAAGGACTGGACAGGGAAAAGTGGTCCTGGTGCTGAATGATGTGAGTGATTTAGTAACGGGACTGGAGCAACGCAGAGAAGGCTGAGGTGATCAGTACCTTCTCTGTCTCAGTCTTTTCTGATAAGGTCTGCTAACTCTATACTCAGAGTTCCAGGAGAACAGCAGCAGTGGATGAAGAGTGAGTCAGGGATCAGCTGGGAGTTCTAGACCCATCCAAGTCCTGGAACCAGAGGGACTGCATCCAAGGATGCTGAGAAAGCTGCCTGATACCTTTTCAGGGCTGTTCTCTCACCTTTGAAAGGTCACAGAAAGCACAGAAGGTCCACAGCAGTGGGAGGCAAATACTGCACCCATCTGTCAAAAGGGCAATCTAGGAAAGGATAGGCTGCTCAGCTCCACTGGACTCCTTAGAAAAATCATGGAGTGAGTCCTCTTGGAACACCTTTTTGGGTACACGAAGGAGAAGAGGGGGTGTGGAAAGAATCAGCATGGATTTGCCAAGGTTAAATCATGCTTGACCAGCCTGGTTGCTTTCCATGATAGGTTTGTGAATAATGAAAGTCGAACATAACTAAACAGTAGTTTGCTGTAGGCTGTGTAAAAGGATAAAGTAGGAATTTACTTTTCTGCCTGGTCATACGTTTTCTCCTTAATTCCTGCCTTTTGAGGGAAGTGAGCACTGAAGTTGGGTATACACACATGAACTCTCTGGAGTTAGTTAAGTATCACTAGCTCTCTTCATGTTCCCTCCAAATACATTATAGCTGGTTTAATTTTGTTTAAGGTTGTGGATATACTACAGGTAACTCCTGGAGGTATTCCTGCTTGAAAAACAGACAAGTAACTAATTCAGTCGCAGAAAAACCTTGGAGTAAGATAGAAATTTGAATACACGTGTTTCTGTCTGACTGAGTTTAACAAATTGGTTGAGGGAAAACACATAAAGCATTCTGATAAATGCACTACTTCCAAAATATTACTCTTATCAAAAAAGGAAAAATTATAAGCAGCACGGAATTATCTCAGCCATGTCTTCATGTGCTGTCACTTAGTTTTCTCTGTGTAGAACTGAGCTTAGTGTTGCAGAACTTCAAGTAGTTCTGTTGTAAAGGTTGTCAAGTTGGACTCTCTCTTGCTTTTCCCCTGCTTGTTCTTATGGAACCTGCTTACAGGGAATTGAATTCACGGTTTTGGGGGTCATTGTGTAATCTCTTCCGTGTTTCATGGCTGGTTTCTTCAGATAACTTAGTGCAGGTTTGCTAATTTGCATTTTTCTCTGTGCCTGAAATGACCAGTGTGTGAGTGTTCCTTGAGGGCTTCAGCTGACAAGCAGCAGTTAAGCCTCAAATGTCCTAAAAGTGATGAGTTTGGAACAGGTAGCACAGTGTTATTTAGTGACCAGAGCCAGCTTCTTGCTATAAATGCTGCTGATAATTGTCAAGTCCTTTTGCTGGCCTTTCCAGCTAAGATCTTTGAGAATCCCCACTCTTGTCTCTCAGCAGAAACCCTCTTCAGCCACAGGGTTCTGGTGGAGGGAGCAGGGTGTGCTGACTAGCATTTATCAAAGAAATAGCTTTTTGTTTCTCACTAAAACCATGTTACAGTGCTAATTAGATAATTCACGCTATACTTGCTTGCTACAAAAGAGAATAAAATACATACCAGCTCTGTTTCTGAGCCATGCACTTCATTTTTTTTTATCTGCCTTCAGCTTCTGTGTGCAGCCTTCTTTTTCAGTCATCCATATTTGCAATGTTTTGTCATGCCTCGTGGGAAAAGGTCCTCAGAATGTCTTGCTGAGCTGCATTTGGGGTTGTTCATTGCCAGAGAGATTTGGGTTTGCATGTTCTTTGTAAAAAGCTCCTGTCGTTGGTCTTTGCTACTCATTACTACAAATGACTAATTGTATTTTAAAGTGCTGTGTAAAACAAAGTAAAACAAAGGCAGCCAGAAAACAAGCCAGAATAACAGTTGTTCTGGTAGGGTGATTTTCATAGTTCGAAATCTAGAAAATTCTGGTCATATGTAGGAGGATTGCTGGTTCTTCTTTGAAGTTAAATTTTAGATTTTCATTACAGTAGCTATTTGAGAGTAAAGGGTATGTGGGAGGCATTGCAGTAAGTTTCTGAAACTCCTGAAGCTGAAGATGCAAAAGTGAGATTTGAAAGGATAAATATTTTACCGTAAGTAATTTATTGAACATGTCTTTAAAAAAAACCAAAACAACAAACAAACAAAAAGCCACCAACCAATCCTGAACCAGCTGTTAATTAATTTTAATACCTTGCTGACAGTCTTTTGGACAGACAGTCCACTCTCTTCCAAAGATACCAGTGGTAGGAGTTCTCTCCCTGTCTGCACACATCTTGCGCATAAAGTGCTTCTGATTAAATTGTTACAGTTTTGAATAAAAAGGTATTTTTCCTTCTTCCCTCCCTCCCCCCCCCCTACTTTTTTCTTAGATAAAGATGTACCTGCTGTGTACACCCTCTCACACTGTCATTTTTTCAGAAGCAGCAGCAGGAGCAGGGGATGATTTCTGACTTGCCCGTGCAGCAGTTGGGAGGAAAGAATAACATGATGAAAATTAGTATTTAGGAACTCTCTGAACTCAGAAATTCGGGAATCTGACAGTATGTAGGCTATTAGCCTGTTTCTGGATCTTATTAGCTGCCAATTACAAGTCCATCTAACTTCTTACCCATGGATTACTGTGCATCGTTGTCCTAGACAGGGGACTCCCATTGGTCATCTATGGTTTTTTTCCCATATCTTTATTTATGTGTGCATGTATAATATATACAAAGAACGCATTTAATAAAATGTCCTTAAAAATCATCTTGCTTCGACGTCCATAGAAGAAGCTGCTGCACTGGACAATGCTGTGAGCTGTGACATTTGCACGGCACCGTAAACAAGACCTCCCTTCCTTGATGAATTGCAGTTGGTGACCTTGAAGCCATCTCCAGAGCTGGGGATACAGCAGCAACTCTGTTCTCCAAATAGACCTGACTGGTTTCTTTTTTCAGAAAGTGGGGGAGTCTAAAGAGACTGGTTATTTTTGGATGACTGGGTGAAACAGTGCTCCACACGCATTTTTCTGCTGTGAGGTTACGTATTAGCAGTCATTGTACATAAAGCACTTCTTTGCAGGGAAACAAGGATGTTCTCTCCCAGAACTTGAAGGCAGAGCCATTAGCTTTCATTTTATTATTCATTTCTTGCAGTAAGAAAGAGGGACTGATTTCTTTTCTACAGCGATGTCTGTGCCTCAGCAAACCCTGAAGATGGCATTGGCCTCCTGCTTCTTTCTTCATGCATTTGCATCATCCTCCTCTGCGCTCTGCTGCCTCGTTGGCATGTCTTTGGAGGGTTCATTCCTCTCTTCTTGCACCCTAAAACATTGTTCAGGAGTAGAGTTGTTAATTAAAACCAGCTAGAAACTTAACTGAAGAGATTTTGTGTTAGGGTGGCTTTACACTGCTCTAAGCTTATTGGAACTCTACCAAGCAGAACTCCATAAATTAAGCCTTGCTGGTGATGCAAGAGGTGTGTGAGCTCCTTTTTGTTCTTTCACAGCATGTATGCTAATTCACCTCCAAGGTTTTGGTTCTACCCCAGAGACCACAAACGTGTCTGGCACTACTGGACATACTCCACGAGAAGAGACAGGAGCCGCTAGGCTGGAAACCGAAAGGGGGAAGCAGCGCGCGCTTCCCTTGATTCCTTTTTTCCTCCTGTGCTTTCTACTCCATATGTTGATGCTGGAGGGGAAATGAGAGCCCTTCATCTGTTCCATGCACTCCTGCAGGCAGAGGCACTTACGTCATCTCGTAGTCAGTGTCCTTGCTCTCCCGGCAGCAGCAGCAGTAGGCCAAGATCCCGATCACTACGATCGCAGCGATGACTCCGCCGATGATCCCGGCGTACAGAGCGATGTCCATGGATGCTGCAGGGGAAGGAGAGCATTAGCCCTCGGCAGGGAGGGTGATGATCAGCACAATCACTGGGCTGATCAAACCCCACCACCAGGTGTCAGACCTCACTGCCACATCCAGACTGAGTGGAAGCCACATTTGTTTGACTACAGCAGCTGGAGTTAATTCTGTACTGGGTAGTCAATGGGTCTGCAGGAGCAATTAGGGATAGGGAGGAGCCCCTGAGTCTGAGCAACTGCTGTACTAATTCTGTGAGTTAGTGATTGCTCTACTGGCACCAGACCAGTGGAGAGGGTCTCTCAAAGGTGTGCAGAAGCCAGACAACAAAGTTGTCATTCCCCTCCCTTAACCCTTTGCCTCTTAGCTTGGGTACTTTGTCTGGTCCTGTTCCTCCACTGAGCAGCCCCATCTCTTACGTGGCACAATGCTGACCGTCATGTTGCAAAACTCTGTCCCCACAATGTTTGTTGAAGTGCAGATGTAGAAGCCAGAGGTATCCGCTGAGACGTTCTTCAGAGTTATTTGTTCCCCTGTTGCGAAACACAAATCCAGTCCAAAAGAGAAAAGAATTAAAGCAGGGAAGGAAGTGGGGGACAGCAGCCCTTCAATTCCAGCCCGGGGTGGTTGGAGTGATGAGAGGTGCTTAAAGCTGATGGATTGCTCTGGCTGGCTCTGGAGCTGCCGTGCTCATCGCTGGGTTTTGGTGTGATTTGTGGGAGGACAGACGGAAGCGTGCTGTTTAGATTACAGGGAATCTGTGGTATTTGAACATTCCTTTTAGAAAGAAAATTGTAGGTGGAGGGTAGAGAAGTGTGTGTGCTTAGTGAAAGCTTTTTGTTTTTTTTTTTTTGCATTGGATTTTGCTGAGAAATATAAGATGCCCAAACCACCATCTGGCTTTCAGAACTGGTCCTCTGATGAATTAACTTGTAAAACAGCAAAAAAGCTCTTTAGTTCTCCAGCTCTTAGGATTTCAGACCTGAATTATTTAGCAGTAGGGGGAAAAGTTTTCTAGTCTGGGAGAGGCCACACAGGCTGTGAAAATAAACGAAGGAAAAGAAATGAAGTGAGGTGACTGTTATGATACCCGTGTTTTGTGTCCAGCCTAACAGAGCTCAGTGCCATAGGCTGAAGCTTAGGCAGTCAGGGAGTCAGTTTTTGTTTGTTACATCTCCAGTTGATGTTTGTATGTGTAGTCTGTGCATTTTCTTAGGATAAAGGTCCAGATCCTTGCTCTAAAAGAAAAAGACTGAATACTTTCCAGGGATTTTCCTGAGTTATTTTCCCTGTGATCTCACTTCTCTCTGTTTAGTCTCTGCTGGCGCCTAGTGCCAGATAGTAGAATAGCATGCAAACTGAGAAATGATGCACTGCATGCTTGATCTTTTGTATTTTTATTTTCTTTTAGTCTCTACATACTGCCTGTGCTTATTTATATTTTTCTTTTTTTATTATTATTTTTATTTTTGGTGCGATGTTTGTATCTCTCAAAGTTGCAGAATGTAATTGGAATGTAAATCGTCCTGTTAAATCGAAAGGGAGACAAACCGGGGAAGAATGTGGGTCTGATACAATCAGTTTTGGAGCGTTTCCTGACGGGGTTCTTGCACACTTTGCAGCAGTAGGACTTGCTTAACACAGAAAAAAAATTGCTTGTAGCGACAGTCCAACCAGCTTGGGGCACAAGGGGCAGTCGGCTCACTGCTGGGACACGGGTGCTGTGGAGACAACAGCAGTGAGGAGGAAACGGATCAGAGGAGACCCAGGGGAGAGCAGGATGGCAGCAGAAGCAGCAGCTGCTGCCACAGCAAGTCCCGTGTGCTCAGGGCTGTGTGTGATGCGCTGGCACCACTCAGTGGCCAGGGAGGTGAATAAGGTTCGTGTCCCCGGTGATGTTTCATCCTTCGCGAGTTTTGTGCAAGAACCAGCTTGAGTGAGTGTTGAATACCCTGTGGAGTCTCGTCATATTTAGTTTACCCCCCTCCAGTAAGTTAAACTGGGAAGGGTGGGCTCAGGTAGTCTTTCTGAAGCTGGACAGGCCGGGAAAAAACAAAAGTTTAATGGAATAAATATGAGTCCTCTTCTGTCACTGCTACACTTAAAAGAGTACTAAACCCTCCTTTCTCTACAAATAGTTCTACCAAAGGTCCTACCTTGGAAATTCAATTCCCTTTTCTTTACAGATTCTGAGTTAAACGGAAAGCAAATAAAATACTTGGGCCTGTGTGTCAGTCCTGAAGAACCAGAAGCCTCTTTTATTTATGCTCAAAGCAGTAATGATGTAACTTTCTCATACCACCTTCCTCTAGGTGAGGAGTCCTCTCTGGAAGTAAAGTAGCTTCCAGAGCCAGCTTTTGTTTCCTTCACCCTAGAAAGCAATTTGGTCACTGCCAAGCAAACTGGGATGTAAAGACAAATCAGTTAGGAAAGTCGATGCTGTTCTTCGTTTAATGCCCCCTTTACACCCAGCAGCTGAGAAGTAATTATTTCTGGCTGCTTCCAGGGAGAGACAGCTTCCTCATCAGGTGAGAGTTGAAGTTAAAAACTTACTGACCATGCTTACTTCAGGTTATAGTGGTTTTCCCCCTGCTGAGTTACTCATGAGCATGCCATGCATCAAAAGGACAACTTTTCAAAATCCTAATCGGGAAAGGATCTAGAAAAAGCCTGAAGAGTATTTGCATTTCAAAATCTGTCCAGCCCTCATCTGCAAAGAGCTCAGGGACTTGATACCTTTGAATTGTACTTACCTACTGTGTTTTCTAGTGCACGGGGCTCATTTTGTACGTTGAAGCTTTTCCAGGTGTATTTGGGCTTTGGGGAACCCTCCTGAGACACGCAGGTTAGATTGATTGTCTGTCCATACTGTGGTGTCCCCAGGATCCTGCAGTCTGGCTTGGATGGTGCAACTGAAGGAAGAAAAAAGGAAGTAGTTTTATTAATTAGACGTAGTTTCTTGTTTCAGCCCATCTCTTGCTAAACAGAGGCTGGCCTTGCATCTACCACCTTCTTCTCAAAGGAACTCCAGTGAATTTGTACCTATTTTGTTTCTCCCTTCTTGGCACTGGAAAGCCAAGAGGGAATTGTAAGATGCTTTTTGGGGTGTGTCTAATGGTGTTAGGTGTTATCCTTTGATAACTGGAGTATGACAAGCCAGGGGGGGGATGAGGAATGCTCTAGAGTGAGGCATGGATTACTAGGAAAGTGAATGATACAGTTCTAAAGACTATTTTCTAGAGTGAGGTATCTGAGGGAGTTGCATGCTCTAAGCCTTCCGACCCACTTCCATAGCAGCAGGAAAAGACCAGAGATGGAATTGTGGATGACAACTTCCTTTTTTTTTTTTTTTTCCCTCCTCCCATTATAAAATCTGTTGTTTAAAACAATGTGGATATTAGAGGAAGGGCAGTTTTATCTCATGGGAGTGGCTTTGCCTCCCTCCCCCTGCTCACCGAGGACGTAGAGGGACAGGACCGCGCTCTGCCGGGGGGGGTCGTTCCTCAGGCGGACGCTGCACACGTACGTCCCGTTGTCCTCCATGGTCACCTCGCTGATGGTGATGCTGATGTCCCCACTGTTCACGTCACCACTGAACTGGACACGGTTCTCGTAGCCCTCGCCGTACTGTACGAGTCCATCGAAGTACCTCGTGACAGCGTCGATCTGTGGGGGAGAGGGAGGGAAAAGGATCAGTCTCAGTTCCTTCTGTGTGAGTCTGCAATGTAACCCCATGAATTAGCCCACTCCTGGGAGCAGCTCGGGAAGGAGGGCCTTGAGCTGCGCCAGTTTGACAAAATGCCAGGAAAAACCATAGAAATTCAAAAGGATCTGTGTTTCTTTCCAGACTTCCCTTCTTCCCACCTTACGTGAAATCAGAGACCAGTGATTTCTTTTGCTGGGGCTTATTCACCTTTCCTCTCCATGGCAGGACAACATGAGACTTGTCTGAGATCCACATGTCAATCAAGTTCCCCCATGGTTACACAAATTCTTCCAGGAAGGATCTTCAGAGAAGAAACTCTTGGCAGTTCTCACAAGGAGATCTCCGAAGGCTGCTTCCCTTCTCACTAATTCCCAAGAAGTCAAGGAGAACTTTAAAAGTCTTCTTACCTTCAAATACTCCATATGAATGTAGGAGGCCTCAAGAATCTCTCCATGTACTATTACCATCAACTTGGAACTTTTTATATTGTATCAAAGATATTCACATATATAAATATACACGTATAACACACATACTTAAAAGTATACATATCTTTTTAGAAGGTGTCTGAGCATTTAACATACAGTGATGTATATCCTCAATAACCAGTTGTGAGACCAAGAGAGAGGAAGAAGAAGGGTGGGGGCTTGCCTAGTGTCGTGCAGGAGGTTCAGGATAAATTGCATCTCGATCAGCGTTTCTGTTCGCTCAGTTCTGAGATTAAAAAAAGTCTTGGAGAAATTCCCACCCACAGTTCTGCTTCCATCTCCCCTGCCCCCCCCCCACCCCTTGGATGCCCTGCCACGTCTTGCTTTATGATTTACCGGACTGGTGATTTTCTTCCAGACAACAAGGTCTCCGCTGTCAGCAGAAGCCTGAGTTTTGAAATTACAGCGGAGGGTCGCGTTCCTTCCCCGCGCCACCTGTATCTGCTTGGCAGGTGCTTCCACAGTGAGGGCACGAGCAGAGGCCAGAACTGGGAAGAGAATGAATTCTGCACTCAGCAGGAGTAACAGCATCTGGGTTCCACGTTTGGTCTCTTTGGCTTTCTCACGTGCCACAGTTGACCCCACGTTCCCGCTGTCATCCGCGACGTTCCCCCCTGAGCAAGAGGTGGCTGATTGACTATGGGGAGCTGCTGCACAGGATGGCTGAGAGCTAAAGTCTGCTCTCCGTTGTGTGTTTCGAGGGAGAAGAGAAGAGGAAGAGAAGAAGAAGGTTCTTTGCCTAGCCATATTTCACCATGGAGTTTAGAAAGATGTTTCGGTTTGTTTTTTTTCCCTGAGCCCTCTTTCAGTGTGACTGACATCCTTTGACAGTTCAGAATATACAGAGGGAGACAGATAAACAGATACTGCAAGTGCAACAGCAGTCTTAAGGATTCAGGCTAAACTAACAAACTGATATTGTCAAATTTCAGGGATCAGGAAAACTGTTAAATAACTTGCCTCAATCCAAGTCCATAGAATAGCAACATTTTGTGCTAGGGAATCAAAACCTGTTCATGCAATGCCCTGAAAACAGAAAAACTTAGAAAAGCAAAGAGTGATTGAAAGAAATGGGGGGAGACTAGCTATTAATTTTTAAAAATGAGTAAGGCAGTAGTCACCTTTCCCCAAGAACTCAAGCTCCTGCCTCTGGAGCACTGTAATAGTTGAGAGTTGAATAAAACAGAAATCCCCCTGTGCCCTGGTGAAGCATGCAGGGCACAGGGCAGGTGTTTCTTGTACACTGTATTCCATCTGACTTGCTATAAATTCATCACGTCTGAGCGTTACCTAGTGGGCAGGTCTTAGTTGTTCTCAGAATTGAGATGGACATTTGCCTCTGCCCTGCCCAGACCTTCATGCCTGTGGGGATCCGTGGCTAAAGAGACCTGGTTTCTCCTAACAGTTTGCGTGGGTTCTTGTGTTTGGGTTTGTTTGTTTGTGGTTTGGGTTTGGTTTTTTTTTCAATGGCACCAAACCGAATCATTCGGAAAGAATGTAAATGGCAGGAAAGGAAGTGCTGCTCAGAGGCACTTCCACAGCAAAGAGGAACGTGGTGCTGCAAGGAGGAGGGTTAAGGAGGGCACAGACGTATGCTCACCCCTACGAGGGGCCTGCTGTGTGTGGCGGGGAAGGTTTGCTCCTGGAAGCTGAGTCAGTGTTCCCTGGAGAGGAATTGTCTGAAAAGTTGCCATCTGGCAAACTTCTGCGTCCTCATTCTGCCATACTTCGGCCAAATTAGATCTATAAGGAAGTGTAACATGGAGGAGAGAAAGCAAGGAATGTCTGGGTTGCACCTTGAGTTGCAAACTGGCTGTGAATACCTGCTGTTTTAGACAGGAAAAGCCCACAGCTACTTGCATCAGGTCAGTGAGAGAGAAAAAGCCTTTGGTGAGTTGAGCATGACCAGATCCTTGACTAGGAGCGAATGATAGAAAATAACAGTCTAGGGACCCAAAAGGGTTTGTTGCCACTGAGCTAAGAACCTGCAGGTGGCAATTCAGGTAATTACACTGGCACAGGAATGTGCTTTTAGCCCAAGTTCTCATCTTTCTGCATCCCCTGCCCCCCCAGCAAGTTGTTCTCTGGTCTCTCACAGTTCATTAGTCAGGCCCGTGTTTTAACCTCTTCCTCTGTGACATGGCGGTGGCGGTTTCTGTTCTCATGGAGGTTATTTCATTTACAGCTGCTGACAGCTCCGAGAAGGAAACCAGCAGGGCAAAGTATTTCTCGAATGCTTTTATTGCAGCCACTCCCAGGTGTTTTCCCTGCTCTGGAGCACCCAGGGCAAGGCCCATGTTTGCGTAGCCCCGGGGCTCTTTCTGACTGTTGTTCTCGTATCCCCTTGGTATGAGAGACACCTGTGAAAGCTTTCTCTTTGCTTGTTGCAACTGGATAGAGGTGCTTTCCTGCATTTAGGTGAAAAGCACCATTGTCTGTACTAGGAGATGGAGCAAAACCCATTTCCGGATCCTTTTGTCACTCGAACTGGTTCTGCCAGGCTGGGGTTCACTGACAGGTTAACTGAGCCCGGAGGCAGAGAAGAAACTGCCCAACCCTTAGGCTTCTTTTTCTTCTTCCAGTTGGATGACTCAGATCCCACAGTAAATGAGATCTTTCTGTTTTTTTCTGGACATGTCTTGGGTGATGCAGAGTTGGGGAACAGCTGAACCAAACACCACGTGGAAGAGACAGAGCCCGTAACAAGCGAGACTGCTTTTTCATCTGGTGCTGTCACCCCACTGCCCCACTTTTTCTGATGCTCATCTGTTTGTCACCCACATCCTTCTGGATCCCAGAGCTTCCCTCTCTCAGGGAAGCTGCACGGTTTCATTCTGGGATGCTGTTCACTCATGCTGATTTCCTCCTTTCCCTTTCTCACCACATTTCACTTCATAGTCAGCACGTGTAGAAATTGTGGTTCATTTTTCAAGGGTTGGAGTTCTTTTTCTGAGGGAAAACAGAATCTATTCAAAGTATGGCTGGAGGGAGGGGAGGCCAGTTTGGAAAGAACTCCATAAAAGGAGAGAGGACAAACAGAGACAGTGTCACCTAGATTTAACCCTTAGAATTACTTGTTTTGGTGTTGTCAATTAGTACGTTTATAACACTTCAAGAAATTGAGAAAGGTTTTATCTCCCCTCACTGAACTTAAGATTTGTACTTGTACAAAGAAAAAAATCACTTGTCTGCTTTCACATTCCTTCCTAAGTGTTAATAGATCGAAGGGAAATTAATACAGCTAGAAACAGTTAGAGAAATATTTTGTTTGCTGAAAAAAAAGAGATTCTGATCAAGCAAAATTATTAGTGCTGATTTCTTATGGTAGATTTGGCTAGTGAGAAAAGTAGGAAAAGAGGAAGTGTTTTACTTCATTTTTACAAGGAAATGTTCTGATTTTTAATTCATTTACCTCAGAATTTAGCTAAAATTTAATTCCAAAGCGGGAGAGAGAAAGCCTCCTAAATGTGAAATTTGCAGTAAAAGTAAATATTTTGTTTGATTCACAATGGCCATTTGTGTCTTTTCCTGCACCGAGGAGTTCACAGTACCAGTTACTCACAGAACTGCAGTGAAAAGCTGTACTGCAGAAGTCAGCCAAGCACCAGAATCCTGATGCAGCACTGCCATGTGCTGTGCAGTTTCTCCACTCAGGTGCAGTGCAGGAATCTGCTGTACCTTCTCCAGAATTTTTTCACAGCCCAGTGTTTTAACACTAAATTATTGCCATTTGAGTTCTGCCCAAACCGGCAAGAAGAGCTTCATCCAACATACATATTTCTGCTCTGAAAAGTTCCCCATCCATAATTTAGATCGAATGAAAGGTGAGAATAATGAAAAAGGAGAGTGAATAGCAATGGTGTTACACAGTTTCCATAATGATCGTGAAATCCTGACCTCTGTTGCATACAGAGCACATCCACTTTTTCTAGTTACGTTAAACTTTCTGAATTTCCTTCTCGTGGGTCAAAGGGGAGTTATCAGGATTTTTGGTTAAAAAAACCCAAGCAATTTCCATGAGTGTAACTTGGTCTGGAGCCTGGAAGAAGGTGCAGGAACATTGGTAGGAGTAGATAAGACAGGATAAAAAGCAGTGGAACTGAGAACTGGAATTGCTCTGCAAGGCAGAGGTGAGAAAGGGCAAGACTGTGATGAAGGCCCAGGGTGAGCAGGCTGATTTACGTGCTTTAGTAGGAATCACTGTGTATCCCCTTGGTGTGAGTAATACATAGGGATCACAGGTTGTATCAGTGTAGTATTCAGGCTACAGAGATGTTCAGTACATGCAGATTTATGTATAGAAGAACAGAACCCAAGGACTCAAGGCCAGGTTGAATGGAGCTCTGAGCAGCCTGATCTGGTGAATGGTGTCCCTACCCATGGCAGGGGGGTTGGAACAAGATTAAGGTTCCTTCCAGCCCAGGCCATTCTATGATCTTTCCACTCCCAGATGGGGAAGTTCCTTCTTCAGAGATAAACACTGTATTTAATGGAAAGCAGTAAAACTGCTTTTAAAAGATATTTTCCAGCCTCATGAAGAATAGCATTTTCCCCCACTGTCTTGCAGCTTTAGGATATGCCCGTGTGTCTGGACATTCGGCACAGAGACAGTGCACACACTTGTCTGATCATAAACACAAAGGAACCTTTACTAAACAAAAAAGCAACTCACAGAGTACACTGGAGTGCTCAGACTTCGTAGTGCTGTTTCCTTCTACCCAGCCCTTGAGGACGTAACCAAGTTAGTACTTACTTGCACTGAACACGAACAGCCCAAGTCTGCTCATTGCCGTCCCCCTCATCTCTCCTTTGTTTCACCTCAGGGTGCTCTTCCTTGTAATCTCTAGGTGGCTGGATAAGTAATTGGCTTTAGCTGAAGGGCTGCCTTGCAGTGGCATCACAGGTTCACTTCCTCAGTCTCTTTTAAAGTGCTTCTTCCCAGGTCTGCCACTCCCCTCCGGGCCAGAATGACAAGCCGGATCACCAGTAGGCTTTGACATCGCTTGCTGCTCCCTGCCCAGGGGCAGAGAGGAGACTTGTAAGCTCTTTCCCTGGCTGTGAACTTTCCTCCACAATTAAACTGCCTTTCCCAGTTTCTCCTAACGCACAGGTACGTAAAGCAAGCAAAGGGACAAACCGAAGGGTGCGGTGAGACGGGGAGTGGAGTGTACAGCACGGCTGAAGTCATGCATGTGGTGACAGGTGACTAGGGGAGGGTCAGCCTCATTCATCTCAAATATTTATTAAGGGAGCCTAGAGATAGAGTTAAAAAGGTACTGAAGTGTTTCAGCATGCAGGCAGCAGCCCACATCCAGGCTTTAAGGAACTGAGGTGCTGAACTCCACTTACTCCAAATACCCGTAAGAATATGCAGTTTATGAGAATTTGATCACTAATGGGTTATCTAAATAAAAGTGAGATGCATCTTAGCCAGGTTCTTACTCTCTTAAGCCTGCTGTTCAGCTGCCCAGTGTGTGGCTTGCACAACAGTTGTAGGTACCAAAGGTGCTCCTCCCTTTCAACAGAAAAAGGCAGTCAGATAAACCACGGCTTGCAGGTGCTGGCTGTGTGCCCAGGAGGGCAAACCCAGGCACTGCTCCCATGCTCTGGATGGGCACTGGCAAGGACAAATAACTGCTCCTGTAATTGACTGAAGAATACAAAGAGGACAGATAGCAGCTCAGGCAAACTTCTGACATTACATTTGACTGAGGGCAGCTGGATAGCGTGCCTTCTGAAGGTTTCACTGCCACTAGGCAGCAAGGGATGCTTCCATCTAGGATAGTCATCTGTGCTCCATTTCTAGCCATTTGAGGGACAAAGTCGCTTTTAGGTTGTGAGTGATCATTTTAGGCATCTTAGATGGGGACTTCACGTCCTTAGACATCATTTTCAGATTACAATGCAGTGATAATAGTGATGAACTTTGCTTTGGTTTTTTGAAGGAGACTGCCTCGAAAGCAGTTGTCTACACCGGATATCTGTGTTTAGTCCACTACAGTAGATCTGTATCTTGCCCTTGTGCTGACCTCAAACTAGCATGGCAAACCTGCCAAAATCCCCACTGAAGACTGCCTTGTTGTCCATGTGGTAGTTGTTCAAAATACCTCCAAGACAATGAAACTTGCAAGTGACTGGAAGTCCCTCTGACACAAAGGACAATCTATACTTCTGTTCCTTACACATAACCTCAGTTCTCCTCGGACTGTTAGTACATAAGAGTACAGAGACTTAATTCTTTGGGAATTTTCCAAATGAGGACAGATGGTAGAACAATTCATCCTGGTGTATGTGTCTCATCTTTGGTTGGCTGCAGACATTAGGAGATGGCAAGGACCCTGCAAAGAGGGGAGAGCCATTTTCCAAAAGCAGCTTGCTAACCTCAAGATGTTAACTGAAAATTACTTAAGATGTAAACAAAATTGGAGCAACGTCAGTAGTCTCAGTTATCCTCTTTGGAGCCCACAAGGATGAGACTCCTTACAAGGATGAGTTTCTTAAATGTTTACCTCCTTTAAACACTTCAAAATCTTTGTGACTTTATCCCACAGCCTCCAGGGAGAGACATGTAGGATCTCTGCTGCAGCTTCCACACTTCTGAATTTGCTCCCATTTAATATTTTAAGTGAATCAGAGATGGTGACAGAAATGCTATCACTGTACACCATCTGCTCATACTTCCTGTGTTAATTCTCAATTCTTTACAGAACAGCTTTGAGTGTTCACCATAGGAAGTTGGTTACAGTTTCTGACAGACACTGTACTAACTTGGTCAGCCTGCTGTTACCCTCTTCACACAAATATGACTTTCACTATCATTTATACAACCTCTCCTTCTTCTCTTCCCCCATTAATTTCAAAACCCAGTTGACTGATTTCAGTTAAATTTGATGGACAGATAGTAATCTTAAAAATGGGAAGTTCCTTTCAGTCTCATAAAAACCATCAATCCCAATCCGTTGGGACAAGAGAGAACTCCAAATTAACAGTACCTCGTGGGCATTAATAATTGTCTTCCATTCCAAGAATCCGTGGTTTCACAACCGATGCAACCATGATCAGCCTCATCTTTTGTGCAGCCAGGGAAAAATTGTAGAGTAGTAACAGGGACAGGCTGCCTTTTGTCATGGCCATGTGGCAATGCTGGTGTGGAATCAGTTCCCTGGTGGGAACAGTTTTACCCTGCACTCCATTGCATCACGAGTAAATAAGTTGGCACTGAGGTGGACAATGTTCTGTTGTTTTGGAGGCTTCACTAAGACTGGTTTCCTGTGTGTTGTAGAGAGCATATGCTTCAACACCTGATACTTACAGAAATTTATATTAAGATGCTTGTTCAGATGCACTGTATTTGTTGCTTTTTTTAGTTATTTAAGCCCGGATTGGAAAGGCACTTTTATTCTGTCACTTCTCCCTGACGGTTCTCATTGGGGGTCTCAGGTTAAATGCAGGAGGCAAATGTACAGTTTACCTGTGAGAAGTCAGTAGAGCTGCCCTGTGGTGTGATGGGGTGACCCTGTCTGGATGCCAGGTGCCCACCAAAGCTGCTCTCACTCCCCTCCTCAGGTGTACAAGGGAGAGAAAATACAATGAAAGCTCAGGAGCTGAAATAAGGTTGAGGAGATGTCACTCATCGATTGCCATTATGGGCCAAATAGACTTCACTTGGAGAAATTAATTGAATTTACTACCAATCCAAATCAGAGCAGGTTAATGAGAAGTAAAGCAAGTCTTACAAACACCTCCCTCCTTCCCAGGCTCTCCCTCCTCCCCCCCAGTGCTGCGGGGAGATGGGAATGGGGGCTGTGGTCATCGCATGTTTCTGCTGCTGCTTCCTCCTCAGGGAGAGGAGTCCTTCCCCTGCTCCAGCGTGGGGTCCCTCCCACGGGAGACAGTCTTCCATGAACTTCTCCAGCAGGAGTCCTTCTCACAGGTTACAGTTGTTCACAAACTGTTCCAACATGGGTCTGTTCCATGAGGTGCAGTTTTTCAGGAACAGACTGAGACTGCTCCAACATGGGCAATTTTAAGCAATGTTAATTTTGTTTCTGGGTTGATTTTCTTTCCCTCTCTAGTGTGAGCTGCCAAAACTCGCAGGCATTGGCACCACAGCTAAAAGAACTGCCTCAGGTACCAGCAGCACTGCCAAAGCTTTGCAATGGCCCTACTTAGGCTGACACAGGCCTGTGTCCCAGCAGAGGCTGACACATACGAGCTGCTTCATCCCTCACCCATGGGCAATGCAAACCCTGGAAGTCTTATTTTTGCTGATGACTGCAGCTCTGGGGAATCTTTTTGCTGATATGTAGGGGTTTTAGGGGATATTACTAGGTTATTTAAATGAAACTGCCGTTGACACAAAAAGCTTAACACGAAATCAGGGTGACTTCATTGTGTTGTCAGAAATACACACTCTGATAAAGCTTGCCTGTAAAAGCCAACGAGGATTAATGCATTGGTAGCATAGTGCTAACACTATAAATTAAAGTAACTTCTGTTGGTTAAGAGAAAGAGGAACCTCCCATCAAGGTCCCACCTTTCCCACCCAAGAGGACAGCACCTGGCCTTGTTCAGTTTGGGGTCATTTATGAATGAATACATTAATCACCAATGACAGAGACACAACCACTTACAGCACAAACACTTTTTGCTATGTTGGCATGTGTAAACGTTCCTTAGCCAAGCTTCCCATCATCCGTGCCTCTGCTCTACGTGGTCATCTTGATCCCAAGAAGCAACAACCTGCATCCAGCAGTGAGGAGGAGCTGCCAGGCTGCCTGCTCTGAGTATTCTCCACCAGTCTGCAGCCTGCGGGATCCTCTCAGCATCTCAAAATCTGAATGGTTGCAGTGGGCATGGCAGGGCCTTCAGGTCTTGCCACCATCCCTCTGCTGCTAAAGATTCACAAACAGGATTTTCAGAAGCAGCTCAGTGACTTAAAAGCATCAGTTTTTATTGGGTGTCAGTGGCAAATGTGCTCCCACAACATTCAGGCCCTTTGAAAGCTCTGTTCTCCAATCATAAGGCAGTCCATAAGCAATCATCTTTAGATCACCTCCTGCCTCAATTAACAGTAATTAACAAGAACACGTATGTCCCTGCATTGCAGAAGTGGCTAAAAATGGCATTGCCCAGAGGAGGCAGCTGCAGGATCAACACAATTCATCCTCTTTTTGTCCATGAAACTGTTAGGATCTCTCCAAGCCTGTAATCAGTCATCCATTTCTCCCCTTGATATGGCACCTGAGATTCAATATCCTGCTTCCTCTTGTTCCTGCTTGCTCACCCCAGTAACTGTGCTAACACAAGTCTGGGATGTGGGCACATAAAGACCCGAGTGCCCATTTCATGGCTCTTCCCTGCCATGGTGTGGCATCCCTACGGATGTGGGGATGCAGCACTCAAGCAAGAAGGAAGGGCGGAATGCAGGCCCTTGCCCAGCACGATGCAGTAGCAAAGGTATCTGTGGTATGAGATGGGTGAGTTTCCTTTTCCACTTCCTTTCTTTGCTTTCTCGTTTGCTTGTTTGTTTGCAGAGGGAATCAACAGTGGGACGTCATCGCGTGACTCAGAACTGGAGCCCCCAGTGCAGGCAAACAGCACTTTGGGCTTTCATCTGGCTGTGCCCCGGACCAGCCTGGCCTGTGAGCTTTGCTGGGGAGTCAAGAGATGGGAACCAGAGGTTTCCTTTTTGAAAAGGCATCGGAGAAGACACGGTATAGCTCAGTCCTAGCTGTTCCAAGGACAAAAATCAGCTGATCATACAATCACAAAACCACAGAATCGTTTGGGTCAGAAGGGACATTTCAGGATCATCTAGTCCAACCTCCCTGCCACAAGCAGGGACATTTTTCATTAGACCAGGTTGCTCAAAACCCCGTCTGACCCAGTCTTGGACACTTCAGTGATGGGGCATCCACAGCTGTCTCCAGGCAACCTGTTCCAGTGCCTCAGCACTCTCATAGTAAAGACCTTCCTCCTTTTATTTAATCTAAATCTACCCACTTAGTTTAAAATCTTTGCCCTTTGTCCTGTTACTACAGGCCCTGGTAAAAAGTCTCTCTCCTTTTTTTTTAAGATCCCCTTTAAGCACTGAAAGGCTGCAATAAGGTCTCCCTAGAACCATCTCCTCTCCCACATGAACAGACCCAACTCTCTCAGCCTTTCTTCATAGGAGAAGTGTTCCAGCCTTCTGATCATTTTCGTGGCCCTGTGGTCCTGCTCCAAGAAATCCATGTCTTGTGCTGGGGGGTCCAGAGCTGAATACTGTCCTCCAGGTGGGGTCTCACAGCAGCAGAGTAGAGTGGGAGAGTCACCTCCCTTGGCCTGCTGGTCACACTTCAGATGCAGCCCAGGATATGGTTGGATTTCTGAGCTGTCAGTGCACATTGCTGGGTCATATCCATTTTTTCATCCACCAGTACTCCCAAGTCCCTCTTCTCCAGGCTGCTCTGAACCCATTCATCCCCAGCCTGTATTGATATTGAGGACTGCCCTGACCCCGGTGTAGGACCTTGCACTTGGCCTTGTTGAATTTCATGAGGTTCACATGGGCCTTCTGAATCAAGTGCACCCTCAGCCTGGTGTCATCTGCAGAATTTCTGGGGGTGGCTCAGAAATAATGACACTGTCTGTGTCGTTATTAAAGATATTGAACAGTACTGGTCCCAGTAGGGATCCCCGAGGGACACCACTTGTTGAGAATCCCCATTTGGATGCCAAGCCATTGACTGTAACTGGATCCCATCCAGCCACTTCGTTATCCATCGAATAGTACATCCATCAAATCAGTCTCTCTCCAAATTGGAGGTAAGAATGTTGTGTGGGACCATGTCAAAGTGTTTACAGAAGTCCAGGTAGCTGACAGGTAGCTTGCTTCTGGTAAAGACTGAATGGCTTATCCTGCACTGCGATTCCCAAGGACATCAGAGGTCATACCAGCATTTCAGTTTGTGCCTGGCAGGATCCCACTTGCCTGGAGGCTCCCTGCAGGCAGAGGTCCAGCCTCACGGCTCTGGGCTCTTTCCTGCCACTGGGAAATGTCAGAGGATCAGCCCACAGCGGGGAAGGAGTTAAGTGCTTGACCAGCTGCTGTCTGTGAGGCACTGAATTCCTTCTCCGTGCAATGCAGCAGCCAGTGTCAGGACAGCTATATTTAGAGAGCTGATAAAGGTTTGGTGCCAACAGTTGTCCTGCCCCTTGATGAAGAAGCTGCAGAGAGAGCAAGAGGGGGCAGCTGATTGCTTTCTTCCCAGTGCCATTCCCTGCTGTCTTCAGTGGACTCTTTCGCCGTGTCTCCAGCAGGGACCCCCAGTGGAATCGTCCAGGCACAGGGGGTAAGTTCCCTTTCCTTGCTCCCCTGCCTCGTGGGCGGCAGCCACTCCTCAGCCCCGCTGGTGGCACAGGGCTGGGATCCTCCTTCCCAAGGCTGGTGCTGGGGCCCTGTGGAGCTGCCACCGCTGTTGTGGCACAGTGAGGTGACAGTCCTTGTGTCTGGACACGGGGAAGTGTCGGCTGCGGCGTTTTCACGCTCCTGCCTGAACTACGTCCCCATCGCTCTCCCACGCCCAGGGCGAGCACGGCAGCCTCCACACAAAGGAGTGAAGGACAAAGTCCCAAGCCTGAAAGCGCCTTCGGCCTTAAGCTTGAGGAGCGTTTCGTTTTGGGGAGGTCTCATGTTTCTTTGCCCCTGACACTCCTTCCAGCCCGGCTCTGGCTCTGTACAGCTCCTTCCAGCCACCACGTGCGGTCAAGGGGGGGTATAGAGTTTCTGCCCCTCCACCCCTTCCTTCCTGGCCTTCCTGCACCCTTACTCACAGGCAAGGAGGGCACTGGTGCTCTCTGGGCAGCAGCCAGGGAGCTGCATGAGGCCCTGGGAATGGCAGGCGCCCCAGTGGAGGAGTCAGTGTAGATGCCTCATGGCCAGGGCTCCTTGCAGGAGCAAAATGTGGGAGCCCCTTCTGCTGTACCCCCCGTCCCTGCTGCCCCACAGCTGGGAATGGCCTCTGTAATGGTTCTCCCTCCTGCCCTGCTCCCCGTGCAGCAGATCCTCTGGCAGCCGCCATGGCCAGCGGCAGGGACTCGGACAGCGAGCCGGCCGTGCCGGAGGAGGAGGAGGAGGAGGAGGAGGGCCCGGACGTGAAGGCCGTGCAGGCCCATTACCTGCGCAGCCCCTCGCCCAGCCGGTGAGTACAGGACCACTGCCACGGCCTCCTGGGAGCACATGGGAGACAGGGCTCCTGTGCTGGTTAATCCCACTGAGAGAGTACGTGCACACGGGGGGGACAAATTGCATTACTGTGGGGTGGTATCATCCCTCTTCCCTGTCTCACCCTCTCATACCCATCCCCATGCTGAAACTTCTGATCCAATTTCAACTCTTCCCAAATCTTTCTGTCCATTATGAGGACTTGTGGATTTTTTTAATGTCAGTATTAGGCTTTCCCAGCCCCAGAAAGACCAAGGGTCTTCGGATTTGGGTTTGGCTCGGAGCCAGCTTTAGCTACAGGCTTCAGGCACTAAACAGGAGGCTGTAACAGCACAAGCAGAAATCGAGTTACCCCAAGCAAAACAAGCATGATTAGATGTGTTTTCTCCTAATACAAGGAAAAATACATCCCTTTGTACTCTTCCTAAAGCAAAATGCTCTGCAGGGCTTTCTGTAGCCTTTGAGATGCTTTAGCTGAAAGCAAGGGGAAGGGATTGAGTTTGAAAAGAACCTGCCCCAGTGGCCCTGAACAAGTAGGAGATTATGAAATGTTTCCTGTTAACTGTGGGATACTGCAGAAAAATCAAGACAGAGTGCTTATTGCGTTTAACTGCAAGCATTTCAGAATTGATGAGGAAGATCATTGAGCTAACATAAAGAAAAATTATGTATTCAACTTGATAAATCCTTATCCATCTGCTCATCACTCACTGAAAAGGAACAGAAGCACCTCTCCAATTTATTTCCCTTGCCTTGCCTTCCCTGTTCTTTTTTTTCTCCCCTTTTTCTCTCTGTCAATGATAAAAGCTGTGATGAAGTTGATAAGATCCATCCCATCCAGAACAAGGCCCTGGAAGCCTCCAGGACTGGGCTGTGCTGCAGGCTGTGTGTTTCACAGACGCTCAGGGCAGCCACAGGTAAAATGTGTTGAGGCTGTGGTGGCAGGTTATTACCACTTGTTATGATTTTATTGAGCTTGGAGGCAACCTTTACAGCAAAAGGAATCGAAGGCAGGGCATAGCTGCTAATTTGTGTCAGCTCCAGTAAATGAGACTGAGACTCCCCTTGCTCATCTCATAAACTCCTTTGAAGAACTAGAAAAGGATTACTTTCAGTCACGGTTGACAAGTGCTGGAACTCAACTAAATGACCTAGATGAGCCTGTTAAGTGGTTTCCAATGGCTGTGCCCTCTGTTTTGGTTCTGGAGCATGAAAGCAGTTCAGCTCTCCAGACACTGCCGCACCCTGACTGCGTATTAATCACCCTTCCTCACCTGCCTTAATTAAACAAAAACAAACACTGTCGGAAGTACTGCAAGTCTGCATGGCCAGAGAGCTTCTGTGATGGCAGCAAACTTGTCCTAATGGCCTGTACCATCTATTTGGAAGGAAGTGTAGACAGTGTAGATCAGGGAAAAAGCTCTGTAAAATATTTTGTTAAGATGGTCTAAATGAGAGCAGATGTGCTTGGATTGTACAGGTAGACCGAGATGGAAAGATAGTTGTTTTCAAGATTGCGGCCCCTTTTTTGATTAACAAAAACTTATGTGAATCACACTGTGTGTCAAAGAACTCCCTTCAAAGGTGCTTGTGGGTGTCATAATGGTTTCTGACCTGCAGTTGGACAACACTGAGATTGACTCAGCTGGTTAGAGCATGGTGCTAATAACACCGAAGTTTGATCCCTGTACAGGTCATTTACTTAACAGTGGGACTCCATGATCCTTGTGGGTCCCTTCCAACTCAGAATATTCTGTGAAATCTGTGAAACACTGTGTGAGTGGAGAGACTGACCACAGATTCATGCTATGAAGTGACCAATGTGCTGAGGGAGAGAGTCACGGGCTTCAATCTCAGTGCTTGCATTGCAGCTTGTGGTAACTCAGAGGATGCTTGTGGGCAATTAGCCAGCAGAGAGAAAAACCAACACCCTGGTGTAATCTGGTGTTTTGAATTGTTCAATAAATTCTAGTTAGGACAATGTTTTTATCTGTCTGTCTAAGTGAGAGCTACTTGTGAGACTGCTCCTTGTGATCCATCATCCCCCTCCCAGTCTCAAACCAGACACTGATCTTCTCCACCCGAAAAACTTCTCCACCAGGCAATTGTTTTGCACTCCCAGTCCATGAAGCTCCTTTCCATGAGACCTGTCTCCATCCTGCAAACACTGGATACCAAGAGCATATTTAAAGTCTGTAGTGCTATGCTGGAGAGCAGGGTGGGAATGAGGGGTGGGAGAAGAGCTGGGGCTTCCCTTCTGCAATTAAAGGATCCTCTGTGCTCGGGTTCCCTGCTGCTCCCCTCTGGAATGGGTGCAAAGGGCTAAAGTCCTGGGGGTAGGATCCCAGTGGAGGGCATTGCCTAATAGACAGTGGTTGGTTGGCAGGTATTCCATGATATCAGAGACTGATACAGAGAGCATCTTCATGGAGCCAATCCATCTGTCGTCTGCTGTGGCTGCCAAGCAAATAATCAGCGAAGGTAAGAGGAGGAAGGATAAGAGAACTGTGTAAGTAATAGAGGCCTGAGTTGCACTAGTTTTGCCTTTTGTCATCCAGAGATCCTAAAATGATAAAAAAGCCTTTGTGAGAGAACCCCACCTGAGGTAGAGGTGAAAATCACAAAGAAATAACAATTTACAGAAAGGTTTGGTGACTTCCTTTGAAGTTGTGCAGTGAGTCTGTGGCAGAATTATGTACCACAGTGGTGAATGTAGTTTGAGTGCTGGTTGCTCACTGCAACAAACTGAATTTAGAATAGAATAGAATAGAATAGAATAGAATAGAATAGAATAGAATAGAAATAGAATAGGAGTATTTCAGCTGTAAGGGACAAACAATGATCATCTGAGTTCAACTATCTAACCAAAAGTTACAGTATATTATTAAGGGCACTGTTTTACTCCTCTTAAACACTGACAGGGCTGGGGCATCAACCATCTCTCTAGAAAGCCTGTTCCAGTGTTTGACCTCCCTCTCGGTGAAGAAATGCATCCCAGGGTCCGGTCTTAACCTCCCCAGTGCAGCTTTGAACCCTTCCCACCTGTCTGATCACTGGATACCAGGAAGAAAAGCTCAGCAGCTCCCTCTCTACTTCCCCTCTTCAGGGAGGTGTAGAGAGCAGCTGCATTCTTCTGGGGCTGGGATAAGGGTGCCCTTAACTCCCAGGCCTTTGGCCAGCGTGGGTCTCTGGAGGGCAGTGCCATGTGCTCTTCCCATAAGCAGGTGCTGCACACGTTGCAGACAGAACAGTGTGATGTTTCTGGGGGAAAAAAAGTAAATCGGAAGGCCTGTCCCAGACACAGTTAATGACAGGTCATATGTTTGCATTGTTTTTACATGCTTTGAGTTACAATGTCAGTTTATTCCAGAACTGAAGACAAAGGAGATCAGGGTAGATTCAGTGTGTCCCAGGATGTTGGAGTCTGCACAGCAGCTGATGGTGGAAGACCTGTACAACCGAGTTAAGGAAAAGATTGATGACACCAGCTTGTTTAACACGCCGTGTGTGATGGACTTGCAGAGGGCACTCGTGAAGGACAGGCTGGAGACCCCCAGGGATGCTGTGGATGAAGTCTGGCCTAATGTCTTCATAGCAGAAAAGTGAGTGTCGGCTTTTGCCATCGAGTTGCGTGAGATTCCCAGTGAAGGGTCAAATGGAACCATCGAAGGCATAACATGTATTACATGTATCTAATTCCTTTCATCCCTCGAGAGGCCCAAAGTGTTTTTCAGACTGTGCTCATAGAAAATCTCCACACACTGTAAAGTAAATATTTCTGGAATAGAATCAGCAGCTTTCCTGCGCTATTTTGATGCTTCAGCAGTTTAGGAGAGGAAAAGGCAAATGAGCCCAAATTCCACTGTTCTGATTGGAATTTGGCCCTGAAATTGGAAGTCTTTATTATGTCAAAGAGAGTTAAAAAAGAAATGCCATAGCACATGTCAAGTGGAGATGGTTAGGACTTCTGTACCATGGTTCAGCTGTCCCAGACACCTGTGTTAGTGACCAGACAGAATTAGAAGTGGATATAATGTAAAGCATCAGTTATGGAGTGATAAAAGTGATAAGTGATAAAAGTGAAAAGTGATAAAAGTGATAAGTACACAGCCTGAACCCAGGATGGCAGCATGAGTTTCAAATCAAGCTGTAGTGGAAACAGAGCATGTGGCTCTACAGGTGAATGCAGGTTTCTCATTGTCTTTTTCCAGTGAGTACTGGAAAGAAATACCTGTAGGACTCTCACAGGACATTAAGGTCTGAGTGGAGCCAGATGTTGGATGAGTAACACGGATGGAGAGTTCTGTAGACCTTGCAGCAGGCAGCTCCTCTCCTACCCACCACAGGAGCACTGGTGCCTCACATCTCTTTTTCCTTCTTGAAGGAGCGTCGCGGTGAACAAAAGCCGTTTGAAGAGACTGGGCATCACACACGTCTTGAATGCAGCTCATGGTACAGGGGTCTACACAGGACCAAGCTTCTACAACGGTCTCAATATCCAGTACCTGGGCATTGAGGTGGATGATTTCCCAGATATGGATATCTCCAAACACTTCCGCCCGGCTGCGGAGTTCCTTGACGAAGCACTGCTGACTTACAGGGGTAAGGGGAGAAGGTTGCAGTGGTTCCAAAATGCTTGGGAATTATGGGTGGAAGTGTTACTCTGATAAACAGCCGATGCCATGTCTGCAGTGGGGCAGGAAGAAGGCAGAGCCTTCATTCCCTGCATGCAGCACCAGTGACCACTTGTTCCCTGTCCTGCCGTGCCTCATCCAAAACAGGAGGGAGCAAACTAGTAAGGGGAGGGAGCCCAACAGCCCCTGCTGCAAGCCCTGTGTTTTCAGACTCAAAGTGGCTGCAAGTCACCTCCCTCAGCTGCTTTGAAAGAACCCTAATACAGCAAAGAGCAGAAGTCCTGCTCTGATACATATTTTTTTAATATTGATGTAATACTAAGTATATATAGTTATATTCCCGTACCCTACAAGCTTCAGTTTTGCCATGATGCAAAAAGCAGGCTGATTTACTAGAACAATCCAAACAGCTGAGCTGAACCTTTGGATGTCTGTCTAATTTACTGGACTCCAACTCCATGGCAGCTGTTATTCTGTGGACCTCCAGTGCACACTGGTCATTCGGCTGCAGCTTCAGTGGACAGTTAGAAATACCTTTATGCAGTTCAGTATGGAAATGAACACAATGATCAGTGATATTACTGATATTATTTATATATTTAGTCAATTAATTTAATTATTGTAGAGAGACAACAGATTACCTCCTAGCAGAAGTGACAATAAGATAAGTTTTGTTAGTACACAAGGAAAGTTGAGACAGTTTTAACAGCTCAGCACCACGAGGTGGGACACTGCCTATCTGTGTTTTTCCTCACAACTCCCATTACTACCCTTGGCATAGTCCAAGTGCTTATTGCTGCTGCCATTCATCGACCCTTCAACTCATTGTCCAGCAAAAATGACAGCCCAGCAGGAGAGAGAAGGTTTTCCCCTGGGCTGGTGATCTGAACTGGCTCGTTAAAGGGTCGACACGGGAAAGGGTGCACCGAGGCAGAGGAGCCTTGAAAGAAAAGAGAGGAAGGAGATCTCCCCCTGTTGGTGAACTCTTAGATTGGCTTTACTGCCTGGTAAAGTACTTGGAAGGCAACCAAGACTTTTGGTGCTAAGAAGGGTGTAAAAGACATTTCAGGACTGTAGGAAGAGGTTCGTTAGGTAAACGCTTGGGATAACATAGCAGCAGTCAGAAAGGTGGTGTTTAAACTGGCTCCATGAAGTTTCAGTGCAAACAATTTGATTAAAGTGGGGTTTATCACACATTTAGAAACAGTAATTTCAGTTATTTGTAAGCTGGCAATGCCTCATTTACACTCTTCATATTTCCAAGCTTTTCTTTAGCCGTAATTTGCTATAAAAGTAACTTTAACGTTTTTTGGTGTCAAAGTGTGGTTTTCTGCAAGAGGTAGTAAATGCCATGAAATAAAGCAGATCTTCAGTTTTGATCCTTGCTCTTACTTTTACAGGACAGTGGGTCCCAGTGGTTTGAAGCAGCTGTTTCAGTTTGTCAGAGTCAAAATCAGCTCTTTCCTGCCAGTTGCTTGGTTATCCTTTTCAAAGATATACTATGACTTTGGCTTCCTACATATAACCATTTGAGGGTACTTTTGCCAGATCTGGATTCTGGCAAAAAAACAATCAAATTAATATAAAATTGTATTTAAGCTCCATAATGTGCCTTATGAAAAACTAAATTATTCTCTTATCTTCCCAATACCTTCCTGGAGGCTAATGCTAATATCTCCCTTTTTACGTATTGAGAAACAAGCTTGGAAGGCTTTAATGTCTGACCCTATATCAGGCAGCAAGTCAAGAACACTGTATTGCTTGTCTTTCTAGTAGCTGTTATAAGCTTTTTGACTATTTGAGTACATGAAGTGTGTAGGCAAAACTACAAATATTATTTAGCTTGTTTTGAAACGTGCCTGCCCACAGCTTTTGAAACTAATGTGCTTTTTATTCATGTTTTATTAAGGTAAAGCTATCAAATATTTAGTATTGGTTTCAGTCACTAAAACACGGAATCTGTCTAATTTTTAACACCATTCAGAGAATGCTTTTGTGGTACATATCAGAGTGTATGTACCACGTGTCTGTGACTGGAAATAGCTGAACACTTTCCTGTTCCACATCCGTAGGCAGAGTCCTGGTCAGCAGCGAGATGGGCATCAGTCGCTCCGCCGTGCTGGTGGCTGCCTACCTGATGATCTACCACCACATGACCATTCTGGAGGCTCTGATGACTCTGAGGAAGAAACGAGCCATTTACCCCAACGACGGCTTCCTGAAACAGCTGCGGGAGCTCAACGAGCAGCTGCTGGAGGAGCGGGAGCTGGAGCACTCTGGAGACGAAGAAGTGACTCCCAGTCAAAGCCCTGTGGCTCGTGCAGGGACTTCTTCCCGTTTGTCTGGAGCTGGGGACGCAGAGAGCGTCGTGGGAGCCCGAGCCCACTCCATCACAGTGGAAGAGGAGGACACGAGCAGCATGCTGGGTAGTTTTATGAGCTCTTCATCAGTGTCAAAAACCAGCTGGGTTTCCAAACGCTCCACCCTGATCAGCGAGGAGGAAGAGGAACAGTTGTATGAGGAATGGAGGAAAAAACAAGGCCTGTCTGCAAAGGAAGCAGTAGTTAACCATGAAAGAAGAGCATCTCCAAAGCATCTGGATCGGGAAGAGGAACAATCTGATGAGGATGTGGAACAGAGGATCCATGACTGGCAGCGCAGAAATGAGAAATACCAAATGGAGGGTGCAGCCAGGGAGGAGGATGGTGATTCCAGCATGGGAGGAAGACCTTACCCACCAGGTGAATTCAGTGATGTTGAGAGTGTGAGCAGTTTTGAGATCCGAACCCTGAAAAAGCAGCTGGAAGCCAGTAGCTTTAGCAGGATGAGGAGGAGCCGCACAGGCTCTATGTCTTCTGAGAGCACCTGGGACATGTGGAATCAGAGGCTTCTGGAGATAGAGAAGGAAGCTGCTCAGAGATACCATTCCAAGAATAAAAATTGTGGGGAAATGGGAAGAAAGGAGAGGGATGTGGATGAGGAGAGCGTGCTTTCAGACAGTAGCTCCTTCTACAATTTCTGCCAAAAGAACAAAGACAAGCTGACTCCTCTAGAAAGGTGGAAGGTCAAGAGGATCCAATTTGGCTTTCACAAGAAGGATTTAGAACCATCATCATCAGCTGCGCCATCGCCAGCAGAAGATGGCAACCAGGCAGGTGAGGAGGGAGCAGAAGGGAAGAGTTTGTCAGATATTGACCTGACTGCTTACCAGGCTTGGAAAATGAAGCGGCAGAAGAAGGTGGGCAGTGAAAGCAGCAAGGAGGAATTCGTGGAATTTGCCAAAACCGAGGATTCTGCTTCAGCTAAAAAGAGGCAGAGGCGTGTAGAGCTCCTCGAACGTTCAAAGAAGATTTTAGAGGAGAGCCAGTCCATGTGCAGCTGGGAGACAGACAGCACAGTGAGTGGGAGTATCCCCCTGTCGGCTTTCTGGCCCTCGGCGCCGTCTGCAGACGGTGCCGACGATGCGGCTTCTGCCCTGAGCATGCAGACAAATCATTCATCTCTATCACGGACCAGGAGCAGCACGGGAGCAGTGCAGCCTCAGGTGCCGAGTGTACCCCTTCCCAACCTCCCGGTTGGTCCGGGTGACACCATATCCATGGCAAGCATCCAGAACTGGATCGCTAACGTGGTCAGCGAAACCATCGCTCAGAAGCAGAACGAGATCATGATGCTGTCCCGTCCGTCATCCGCGATGGCCTCCCTGTCAGGAGACCTGGGCAGGCGAGGAGATGATGACGACAAGGTTTCTCTGCTCAGTGCTCAGAGCGGCTCATCTGTGGCTGCCTCTCAGCTGCGCCAGCGGGAGCTGCGCCGGGCCGAGTCTCAGTCTGTCCTGTCCTGCAACACCTCCGTGAGCGCAAGGACACAAGGGACTGCTTCAAACATGAAGACAACACAGACGAGCAAGCCACTGTACAGCCTCTTTGCTGATGATGTTGACCTCAAGAAACTCAGGAGGAAGGAGAAGGAGATGCAAATGGAAATGAGAGAAAAAATGTCAGATTATCAAATTGAGAAGGTGATCAGAGACAATAAGCGCAGCACTTTATTTAAGAAAAAGGTGACCAAAGGAGAGGAAAATGAAAGGGAAGATGGCATAGAGAGTACAATAAACAGCCATGGGCGTCCCTTGCAAGCAGATTTTGACAGAACTGGTACAGTCTTCGATCTGTCCAGTCAACCTGCAAACTCAGGTGCACCAGAGTCAGAAATAGAGACTGATATTAGCAAGTGGCTCAATGGCCTGAAAGCAGAGAGAGAACCACCATCTTATTATGAACAAACTGAGAGAGCTAGAGAGAAATATAGCAGATCATCCAAAGTTAGACAGATGGATTCTGAGACATCCAGTTACAGATTCTGCAGGTCCCAAAGAGAAGAGGTAGACAGCTGTTCTTCCTACGAGTCAAAAGGAGATTCACTGAGAACCACGTCGAGATTTTCCTCCGCTTCTGCGAAAGAGGACAAAAAGATGTACAAGTTCACAAGGTCGAGGGTCAGTGAGACAAGTTCCAGAGAAAACAGCCCAGAGCTGCATGTTTTCAGCCGATCTCCTGAGCCACCCTTTGACTCTGAATCCCCTGAACCGTCTACACAGAGCCGAGTCAGATCCCATCACGTGGAGGCGTGTGAGGAGGAGGCCAGGTCAGACGTGTCGGAATTTGGAGCGAAGAGAAAGTTCACCCAGAGCTTTTCAAAGTCCGAAGAGGATGGAAAGAAGGAGGCAAAAGTGGAGCAAAGCGAGGAAAGGTTTGCATCTAGACAGCGCTCTCAGTACAGGCGAAGCACGCGTAAAGAGGAGGAAGAAGAGATGGATGATGATGCCATTATTGCTGCTTGGAGAAGCCGACTGGAAGAAACTACAGCAAAGCTCCAGCGGAGAAGGGAAGAGTGACCAAGATCAGACTACAGGAGCACAAGCAGAGCCAGAGTCCCTGAATCACTCACTCATCATTATATTTTTGATAATCCTTTGTGGTTTGTAGGGCATTTCCTGCGGATAGTTCTCTTCTTAATCAAAAGCGATGAAGGGAAGAGGTCAAGTTCTGCAAGTGTTTGTGGCTTGTCAGAAAGAAGATGCTAGAATTAAATGATCAATGTAGGTAGGAACACAATGTTAGAAGCCATTAGGAGCCAGACAATGTTTCAGCAGCAAAAGCAAGTAACGGTGGCACCTCAAGTCAAAAGACCAATCACATCCCATTTTGGTTATTTCAATTTCCTAGTGTTGTTAAAAACTGGACATATTTTTTTCTTGGATCTTTTTGATCATAAGTGGAAGAAGCCAACAGCCTTTTCTAGGAACTTGAAGAATGTTTCTCTCTTAATCAGCTTTACTTTATGCCACTGAGAAGATATTACCAGGTAGGCTCCATTTTCTGCACCAGCCTTATGAATGTCTACAGAAATAAGACAGTTCGGGGAAATACATGTTCTGTTTTACTTTGCTAAGTAGCAGAAGCAAAGTAAAATACTGGGAAAAAGAAGATGCCTCCTTTTTAGAAGTTCAAATGAATGTATTCCTGTGGCACCATTTTTTCTATTTTCTATTAGATAGAGTCATCTCTGCTCCATTATGGTTGGTTCCTGCTAATAACTTTGGGTCAACAAAGGACAAATGCAGTAATATTAACAGCCATCTGAAAATCATGTTTTGATGTAGTTAAAGAGATGGGGTTAGGGCTAGGATTAGTGTTAGGTTAGGCTGGGCTTCTCAGTACTGACTTCACTTTGGTTTATGTATGCAGCTCAGCTAAGCCCGTGCTTTCGTGTTCGTAGTCAGATTGTCATGTGTTAATTTTCAGCATGATTGCCTTAAAAGAGAAGAGTGGTACACAAACTGACCTCGAAATAAAATTGTGTATGACTGGAGCATGGGTATAAGGCAGCATGCACCAGCTGTGTGTCTGTGAAGGTGGTAGCTGGAAGCTCGATTTAAGGGGTGGTAGGTCTGGTTGGCACGTTCAGTTAATGCATATCCTGAGCCACAGGGTACACTTTTGAGAGGGAGAGGGGGAAGCACGGTCTCCACGTTAACTGAGTGCACCAGGTTAGGAGCCTGAGGTCCTTCCATGCCCTGCAGAGCCTGGTGAGCTTGTGTGATCCACCAGACCTGCCTCAACATCCCCCGTGCGGCTTCTGTGACAACGTGTCTTTGACGCACCAAAGCACCCAACTCTCTGTCACCAGCCAACGTCCTCCACCTCTCTCTTGTAAACACATAGGCCAGTTTCTACTGACTTTGACTCTGGAATTATCTGTTCCCTCCTCTGTACAGACTGTATTTTGAAACAACAAAGCCCTCTGGCAGAGCTGAATATAAAACGACAATGGAGGGATGATGCAGTAGTGCTCTCTCACAGGAAGTTTTTCTTTTTCTTGTAATCTCCTCTCCCTCCCACTGTGATGCTTAGAGCTCACTATTACTATTATGCTAGTCCCTCTCCCCGTTTTAATTGTGTAATACAGACAGCAAGCTCCACAGGGCAAGGGCCTGCTCTTTGTCCCTGTCTGTGTGACGCTACGCACATCAGCAACGCTATCTAAATAATGGTTACTGATAACAAAATGCAGCTGGCAATCTTCCTAAACTTAGAATCATTTCTCTCAACTACAACTCACTGATTAGACATTATCCCTGCTTCTCTGAAGATAAAGATGATTCTTTCTGACAGCCAGGACTGGGGTAAATGATAGCTACTTATTGTCAGGTAAATGGAGCCTCAGAATCAGGTGATTGAACAGTAACAGCTGTAGAAAAATAAGAGAAAGAACACGTTTTAGTTGTGTGGGTTGCTTTCTTGGTTTTGGTTTTGTTTTTTTTTTTTTCCAGTAAACTCAGATTACATTTTGAAGTGCATAAGAGGCATGGTCTTGTTAATGTTTTCAGGCACGCAGAGATGCTCTGAGGTTTAGAATGCTCTTCTACTACAATATAATATATAATACAATGCATCCCTTGTTTCTGCATACCTCTGTGAGTTGTTATTTTTTTTTTAAGCAGTGGAATTCCAGGCCTTGATCCACGCTCTGAGATTTTATATTAAATTTCTGGAATTTGTGTTAGGATAGGTGTTTTCCTCTTCATCCCTGGTAAAGTTGCTCTGTGGAAAACAGCCCTGCATAGATGTATTTGGAGCTGGCTTTCATTTCAGTCTAGAAAAGGTCTTAAATTTCGATGGATCAAAGTGGAAGTGTGCGGTACCTTCTGGCACTGAATTTACTTTTTTATCAAAGGCCCGATTCCCTCTGAAAAATCCCTCTCCCTCTTCCTGTGCCTGGCTGTTCCCAGCAGACGAGCCTGTCCTCTGCGGTACTGTAGGGGGCATCTCGCGCTGTAAAAGAGGAGCAGTGGATGATGTGGTAATTGGTTTCATTTTGCACTGTACAGCACGGCCTTTGTTTGGGCAGCATTTTGATTTAAACACTAATCTAGGTCTGCTGCACAAATAAATTATTCAAGACCGAGGGGCAGAATATGGTTCTATAACAAGTCTGAGCCACACCGTCCTGATAGCGAGTTTTGACCCTTGTGAGAAAGGGTTAAGTGGGTTCTGCTGACTCATTGAGGTAGGTGGCTTATTAGTTCACTTGTGTAAAAGGGAGATAAAAATGGTTTGCTGGGGAGAGGCCATCTAAGATGCTGGCTGAGCAGTCATGAGGGAGAAGCCTTAGAAATAGCTGAACTTTATTTTCTTATTGCTTATATCCTTGTTAATAAAGCCAAGCCCCCAAAGCAATAAGGGGGTGGGGATCATTTTGGACTCCATGCAGTATACGGCCAGTGCTTGAAAGCAAGATGGGAAAGGCTCCAGCTCACAGGTATAAATTACATGAAACACTGACATAAAGACCTTGCATGGTGAAAATATTAAAGCATTCAGTCATAAGACCAATAACCAGGAGAGACAGAAATGGAGAGGTTGAAGGCAGGCTAGAAAGTCAGGTTTTAAGATGAGAATTTAGAAGGAGATAAGGGATTGTGGAAAGGAGAGAGGTCTGCACAGATTGTTTCAGGTGACCAGAGCTGCAGAGTGAATGGTTTTTCAGCAATGACACCAGTCTGACACTAGATTAAAAGAGTAAATAAGTACCCAAATTCATCTAGGAGGGATTTTTCAGCAAAGATGCGCTGGGACTGATATTTTTGCTCAGACTCAATTTGCTGCTGTAGGAAGGAGGGCGTTTTTTTGGCATTGTGTAGTGGAAGGTGAAAGTGCAAGGAGCATCCATACGGTCAGTTAAGAATATAAACACAGGAACATCAGAAAGGCTGCATGGGGTCAGACCAGAGGTCCACCTGGCTCAATATCCTGTCTCTGGCAGAGAACAACAGCGAATACCTAGGGAAGAATATAAGAGCAGTGATATAAGTGATATTTCCCCAGCATGATCTTCCAGCTTCCAATAATTTGCAACTCAAGGACTTCCTGAGCCAGGTGTGATATTCTTGTATTTAATAGCCCTTAACAGATTTTCCTTGTATGGAGGTGCCTAGTAATTTTTGAGTTATAGCCATAATAGCCTTGTACCCACTAGCCTCTGTAATCTCCTGTGGCAAGAAGTCCCACAAGTTACTCTACATGGAATGCTAAGCCATCTCCTTTTTTTCTGTTCTGAACCCTCTGCCCACTAGCCTTTAATGCCAATATAGTATCTGTTTAGTATCTACATGTGCCATGAGATTTTACTCCCTCTCTGTCATTAAATCCCATCCTTAGCTCTCTGGTTCTCAGCCAGAGTTACTCATTCCTCATACAGGGGTTGCTCCATGGCTCTCATTATCCTGGCCATTCTTCTCCAAACCCTTTCTAGTTCTTTTTTGTCATGCTTGAGATGAGGGACCAAATCCTCACACAGTATCCAGGGTGCAGGTGTGGGAGGGATTAATCCTAGGGCATAATGACCTTCTTTTTTCTGTTCTCTGTTCCTTCCCTATTAACTCCTAACAGTTTGCATGTTTCCTTGGCTGTTGCTGGGCACCACAGTGATATTTTCATAGAACTATTTATTATATACACAGAATCTTATTGTCGGATGGCAATGGTCAGCTCCAAGATCATCATTTTTTATGTCAGGTTTTCTTACACGTAATGCTTTACATTTATTAGCCCTGAATTTCACCTGCCATCTTAGTGCTCAGTCTCTCAGTCTCATGAAGTCCTTCTGCGTTTTCCCACAGCCACCCTCTTATTTCCACTACTCTGTTTCCTTAATGTCCTTTGAGCAGTGTAGAAGCTCAGAGGATATGGGAAGCAAAGAAGTTAAGGAGGGATAGATGAGAGAGAAACCCATTTGATGCTGGTCTGCTTGAAGTAAGAAATAAGAAAGTGATGAAAGCTGGAGAGCAAGGAGATAAATGTTCAAAAAGAGATCTGAAGACAATAGGCAAATTGAGAAGGGGACCCACACTGGGTGGAGACAGGAAGATGTAAGATGTAAGCCAGAAAGGCTAAAGCAAAATGGTAATTTGTTTAGATGTATAAAAAATCCGGGGAAAGGTTATGAGGCAACCTCTGTGGGAAGGATGGAGATTTAAAGATTTCTCACGGGTCTGTGAGAAATGCGAAGAGGATTGGGAGAAATGGCAAGGGTGAGAGACATTAGTGGGACACAGATGATAAAATGACATCTGTGCTGGATTGGGACTTCCATGTAGCAGGAGCAAGTTTGTCAGGAAGTGGAAATGTGCCAGAAACACGTTATTCCTCCTGTAACAGCCGCATCCTGCGTCCTGATACTGATAGGTGTGGGGCCACGGCCCATTTCCCCCATCCAGGAATTTCAGGGAAATGTGATTCATTGTGTGCAGCACCAGCTTAGACTGGATCATTTGAAAAGGAGTTTAGCACCATTTCCTTCCTTTACAGCTCCATGAGAAATGGGTGCACATTAGCTGTGGTGGAGAGCCGGGTGAATGGTGAGACAAAAAGTTTTATTTGGGGCTGCTTATGTTGCACTGCCTGCCCTTCCTTAAAGGGTTTAGCTGGGGTACATTCAGTATGGACATTACAATGTGAAAACACGATATCCATGACCTCCCTAAATTTATAGACAATCCAGCAGAGATACTGAAAGCATGTGATTAGTATAGTTGAGGGCTTGGAAACAGACACTGCCTGCTCATGTACTCCAGCAAAATCTCTTTGAGTGATACCTACCTATTCTCTGGAATTTCACTTGTCATTTAGAAAAATGAAAGTGGGTCAAATCTCTCTCTGTTCTAATTGTGAAGAAAACTTCCAAAATGGGAACTATGTATAACAAATAAACAGTTCTCTGGAGAGGTGGGAGTGCAGCTCTAAAAGGTGTGTGAGTTGCCCCAGTCATCTCAGCAAGGTGCTGACTTATTTGCCCAGGAGTAGTAATTTAAATGCCAATAATATTTGTTATGTTGTTCTTCATGTAAAAAATTGAGAAAGGTTCAAAGTACACGTACTTAGGTTTTGAATTGCCAATACCAGCTACTTGAACAATCACCTGTACCTTTTTGGCTATCCCTAGGAACAGAAATTTTTCGGACATGAAAGCACTGAAGGATCTTATCTTTTTTTTTTGTTCTTTGTTACATTTCAACATATTCAGGAGGTGATTTCATGTTGCTTCCATCTATCTGTCTATCTATCTATCTATTTATCTATCTATCTTTATCTATCCCCATTACAACCTCTCAGTGGCTTCTGAGCTTGCTGTGTTCCTGTGACTGCTGTTCCCCTGCCACAGGCTGCACACACAGACACACACACATAAACAGACATAAAGGAAAAACATTGCTTGTGGCTTATAAAAGCAGGCAACAACATGAATTCAGTTCTTCCCAGGACTGCCCAGGTGTGGCGATGTGAAAACTGTCTTAGAGAGCAGGAGAAGGGACATCCTGTCTGTGCTTTGAACCTTCCCCTCTGGACAGCATTTCATTTTTATTTGCATGTATCTTTAAAACAGACAAACTTGATCCTTACACAAGAGCTTCCATATCTTGATTCAGACCTGCAGGCAGACTGGTTTTCTTTTAATTAAGATATGTATTCCCTGGAAGACACAAATGAGTGTAATGGAAAACTAGCTTCATTTTTAACTAGGAAGAGAACAATGTCTCTACATAATCAATCAATCAATCAATCAATCTCTTATTTTTTTCCAGTGCACCCTTCATGCCAACATGCCTGAATGCTTTATGGTCATTAAATTAAATCAAAGAACACACCACAGAATGGACAAGGCCAGATCAATAAATCTTAAAACTGATTCAAACTTACCAAGGACTCTGCACAAGTAACCATGAAAGGAAGGATGACTCCAGCCAAAAGGGTATTTGTGTGGGCATAAAACTGAACCAAGACATAGGTGATACTAATTAGAAGACAGAAACATTTAAAGGAGCTGGTCATTTTTATAGCATCACCCAACTACCAACAGCATCGACCTGCAGCCCAATGTCTTAAGGGTATTTTTGGGTTTCTGAGTGATACATGAAAATAACCATGGTGGCAAGAACTTTTTGCAGCTGGCTAGAAAGCTGTGCAGCTCCAGGTCACGTCCTGCCACGAACATGCCTAATTTTAGAGATTTGCCTATTTGTGACCTCCCCATTTGATTGTTGCAGGGCACCATATTAAAGAAGGATGCAGTGCCCACCAGCTGGCATGAACCATTGTGTGACTGTTCCGTCTTCATGGACCATCCCAGCAATGTGATCTTTGCAATGACTCCCTACTGAACTTGGATCCAGTTGAAAGCCATCCATTAGTTTGGCAGAACATTTCTCCCTCCTTGCTGGAGAGGAGAGCTTTACGAAACTGCAAAAGCCTTTATGAAACTGCCAATTAATGGGGAGCTTTGTACATTTGGCTCACAGAAATATCCCAGCAGCTGTCATAGCCTATGAAGGTTCATTCCCAAAGCGCATAAAATGACCACAGGCCTAACTACAGTCAAAACTAAATGCAAACCCCAGTTCTTCAACTTAAACTTCCCTCCCTCAATAATTTTGCGAGGCGTGTGCTCCTTAGTCCATGAATTGCATCAAAAGTATTGCCTAGAGGCAGAGGGTCAGAGGAGATTCCACATATGAAAAACAGGAGGCCCTCAAAAGGGTGCAACCTCAGTTGCTGAACAGACACCACACAAATAGGATGGATAAAAGCCCACATGAGACTGGTATATGAGCAAGCAGAAGCTGACAGTTGCCCCTCAGGAATACAGTATAAAGCTTTCAGTTCTGCAGGAGACGTGATCTGAAAGTTTGCTTCCTGGGAGCAATCACACCTGAACTGTTGCATGGTGCTGCGGTTGCATAATTTAATAGTTGTCATGTTTCATCCCGAGGTGAGTGGTGGTGGTGGTGGTGGTAGTGTACACAAAAAATTTGTACGTCATTAGGGATAAAAGGGTCCATGCAAGAAGAGGTCAGACATTATCCTCGTGACCAGCAGAAGAGGTCCATATTAAAACAAAGGAGGTGTTTGATTTTCTTTTGAATGTGGGCAGATGATTCAGACCCATGTGCCCTTCATATGCTCTGTCTCTCCCCTTCCCATCTCCTTCCTTTTGAAACAGATTTAAGTCCATCTACTTTTATATTTTCAAACAAAACCCATAAAAGGGCCATAAATATCATGACTCGCTAAAATGAAAGCTGTTTTCTTCTTCTCCCAGGAGACTCCTGCCTGAGAGAGAGAGACAGAAAGAGTTCACCCCTTTGAAAATTTCCTCCTCTGTCGAAGTAAAGCTCATATCTAAAAGCAGCCTTCAAGGCTTTGTTCTTATCATCTTGACCTGGCTTTGTACTGGCTTCTCTCTGTATTGCTTGTGGAAGTGTGAAGGACGGGGCTAGGGGAAGGAGTTTTGGCTATCACTGGCAGAGCAAGGGTCATGCTTGGAAAGGGATTTCATTGTGGTTTCAGAAAATGTTATAAACTCAGCACACTGGCAAAAAGAATGAAGAAACTCATTCCCCTCCTGGATCAGACCAGTGATCCACCCCTTCTGTCTCTGATGTTGGCCAGAACCAGATGCATCTCAGAAGGTATAAAGGAAGTTTAAGTGGGTAATTATGGAATAACCTGCCCTGAGTAAAATTTTCTCCCCTTCTGGCCCAAAGCCCTCCTTCATCTCTCTCCTTGGTTAGAGTTCAACTCTATGCCCTGGAGCATGACGGCTTCTCTCCCTTCCAAACCGCTTTTCATCCTGGCCTGTCTCATGTAACTGCCTGTGACAGTGATGGGATGTATAGGTCTTGTCCATTGAGAGTCTGTGACAGATCACAGCCTTATTGGAAAGAGAGGCAGAGAGGCCGAAGAGAAGGTGAGGGAGGAGAGCATAAACTCAGATGAAATATCCATCAGGAAGATGGAAAGAAGAGTGAATGCCTGGGAAACTAATTGCTGCCTGCTGATCTGGGCTGTGGAGATAGCTTGCAAGTGAGCATTTTTGCTTTTCACAGATTTCAGCCTGGAGCACTCTAGGAAAGTCAACTCTTTGGGTCAAAAATACTGTTCATCGATACTTCCCCTTATATTTTCTTTTACAGCTGTGGAAGTATAAGAGTAGTGCTGAGAAAACTATTCTGTTATGTACTGAGGGAGCTTTTTCTTCCACTGAAGTTCACTACGCATTTCTGAACAGGTATTGGCGTAATTTGGGCCTACTAGACGTTGAACACCGATGAAAATCGAGCTGTTTTCCTGCTGCCCAAGAAGGGTTTAGGAACCCAAAGTCAGATATTCCTGTCTAGGTCCCTGTCCAGGCCTCACAGAGATGGCTGCTCATACTCCCGAGTTGAGCACAGAGTGTATCCAAAAGTGTTTGTGGAGGTTACAGCTTTTGTGGCTTGGTTTGGTCATTGCACAGGCCATCAGCATTTGTGGGGCACAATGCCAGATGCCCCAAGGTGAGGGTTAGAATTATCCGACACACTGAGACTTTTTAGCCATTGTCAGCATTTTCTCTGGTGCCTTTACCACTGAAAGCATTAACAAAGTTCCAGGGAATGCTTAGTGTACTTTCTAGATGGATACTTCCAGTAATACACAGGTTGAACAGCAGCTTTTATTTATCCAGGAGCTCAACAATTCCTAGGGAGAGGGAAAGAAGAGCTAGGTGTTTGATCATATCCAGGCCTCAATAATCATTAATTTCACTCCCACAATATCCACAGTTTCCCATATTCCTTTCCCTCAAAAGTGTGGCAAAGTGATCTGGAGTTTCCCAAGTGATGGCTGTTGAAATCTCACCCCATCTCCTGGATACCACACTGAGGTGTTCAGAGCATCCTGCTGATGTTGGCTGAGCACAGGAGATTGTTCATTAAGAAAAATGACTGTATCATTTTTACTGAGAACAGCTGCAGTGAGCAGCTCAGTGCCAGTGTTCAAGGCTCTGTAATCTCCTGTTAGTTGCCACTTGCCATTAGATTTTTTTACTGGCCATAAAGGAGAATTGTAGGGGAAATGAGACGTGACAATGATTCGCTGTTCTTCCAGCTCCTTTATCAATTCAGTAACAGGACAAATTGCTCCAGAAGGTAATGGGTATTGTGGAATATTAACTATCTTGCTATGGGGTAAAGGAGCAGCTGTTTGCAACAGATTAGCAGTCAGAGATGCATTCGTAGGAGGTAAACTCTGGGGCAGAAAGGGTGATGTCCCTCTTTCCCATTTTCCCCACGACTGACCCTTCAATACATCCATACCCAATATATTAAGGGCACTTAAAAGTAAGCTCAGGTGGATTGTCTGTCCCTCAGACAGAATTAGTTTAGCCCTGACCAGTGGGTGGTTAGTGGGTTTCCCATTAACTCCTGCAATAGAGACTAACTGCTTGCTGCCCTTTGTAAGTGTCCTTACCTCCCATCGATATCCGGGCTCCCGTGTCAATGAGGAATGTTCTAAAGTAGGAATGGATCATTAGCTGCGACCAGGATCCTCAGCAGTGGGAGTAGCACCCACCCTGGTTTCCTACATATCCGCAGTCCAGGTTTAGTGGTGACAGTTTGGGTATATCCCTGAGCTCGCAGCCCTTGCATGCTCTGGCTCTCTAGTTATTATCCTTTCAAACCATACGGTGTCATCCCATCTCCAAACACAGGTCCCAGAGGGTTATCATGAGAAGTAAATGAGGAAAACCTGTCCAGCTGCCACAAAAGGGAAGTTGGCAGCTCAGAGACAGCTGCTTCTCTAAACACATTTTCCATCGTCTTTTACGCTCAGTACTGACTGATGGTGTTCCTCAACTTACCCTTTTGCTCTTCTACATTTACTTTGGCTGAGGTTATCCCTCGGTTTTTATCCTCTGGGATGTACAGTGGTAAATCTGCTAGCCTACACTGAAGGACCTCTTGGAAACTAATACCATTTAAGCCTGTCTTAATGGCTAACACTAAAGACTTCCACACCACCTCCGCTCCCATTATTATGTGTCAGAAGTGTACAGGCTCCCAAATCACCTCCCAGGGATGCAGTTCTGCTGGAAGGGATTGTCCAGCCCCTGGAGCAAGGTGTGCTGGTCCTTCTAATTCAGCTGAAATCACAGGTTGCAGCAGGGCACTCTGCAGACTGGCTGCCAAGGCCCGGGGACACACATTTTTCCTGCCATGGGCAGTGCACAAAATGCAAGTCCACGAGGGACTGGTAATATTTGGCCCCAGGGTATCCAACATTATTCCTGGGCCTAATGCCAATGATCAAGCCTCAGCTGGGGCAAGGTGAAGCTCATTGGCTCTGACTATCCAGATCCATGGTAGTCCATTCACAGGTGTTTTCCCTGGTTTAGCTCGATATCTCTCCCCCAGACCTCTGAACCTGAGGGCAGTAAACCCTGCCATGGTTCCTGTGGAGGGAGGTGAATTTTGTGCCCCTGTGGGAGTGCTGTGTTCAGTTTTGGTTAGTGATGCTGAGAGCAGGGGGCAGGGAACCATCATCACCTGGCTTTGAGGGGAGGGGTGCAGGTCTGCTTGTTTCCAGATACCCCTCTCCCAGTCAGCATTGCACTTGGCACAACAGTCTTTAACTGAGTCTCCTGCAGGAGCTTCCAACAGCCTCCCTCTGCACTCCTCAGCTTCAGCAATTGTCTGGGGCTGAAGCTGGATTCAGGTGGTCTGTTTTGCCTTTTTAACTGCTTACACTTCCCAAGTATTCTTTCCATTTTCCTTTTCTTGTTTTCCCTTTTCAGTTGTACATTTTCTCCTTTCAACTCATCAGTCACATCCACTGCTGCCCTCTGACAGCTGCCTAGTAGCCAGCACGTTGCACTTTCCCCTTCTCCCTTCTTTACCTTACAAGAAAACTACCCTCTGGCAAACTCCTACGAAATACCATCAGCATCTGTGCAGTGGCTCTTGACCGCAGGACAAATCCCGCTTGGGATTTTGCCACTCCTCTTTCTCAAAGTCTTCTCCCAGTTGTTGTTACTCAGTGTCTGGTTTTTCGTGGCACAGACAAACAGACCCACAGAGGCAGTAATTTTACACTCACGCCAAACCAGCTGCTTTGGCAGGCAAGGCAAAGCACCTTGTGCTTGCCAGCAGAGCATGTCCAGGGGAGATCCCACTTGTGACACCAATAAAATGTCACAGTCTGTTTGGATGTCTCAGTTTTACAGGGAACCACCAGACAAAAGGTGAGAGCTGCGGGAGGCAGCACTTTGCAGTTGACCATGGCTGCATAAAGGCCCTTTAGCTCTTCCTGGCCACCTCTCCTGCCTACCTGGTGCTCTGGCTTTGACCTGATGACACTGCTCCCAGCACACACCAGGCCTCAGCATGAGCTGGGTTAGCCAAAACCTAAGCAGGAGTTGAGTGAACAGTCACAGAAAGGCCAGGGTCTCAGACAAACAAAAATTAAAAAAATTAATAATAATAAAAAAGGTGTTACTATTTATCAGGGAATGCAATGATAGAAGTTGGGGTAACCATTTTAAAATGAAAGAGGGTAGATTTACTTTAGGTATTAGGAAGGAACTCTTTGCTGTGAGGGTGGTGAGGCCCTGGAACAGGTTGCCCAGAGAGGTTGTGGATTCCCCATCACTGGAAGTGTTCAAGGTCAGGCTGGATGGGGCTCTGAGCAACGTGCTCTGGTGGAAGGTGTCCCTGCCCACGGCGGGGGTTTGAAACTAGATGGTGTTTATGGTCCTTTTCAACTCAAACCGTTCTATGATTCCATGACAACTGTTTTCCTCTAATCCAATTACACAGTGCCACTGCCTCATATGTGTGGGGTGAAAAGAATATTATTTCACTGAACTGACCTTGTACATGTGTCTACAGCTTTGTCCGATGATGGTTACACACTAAAATAATACCTCATCTCTGTGGCAAATCTCTCTTCTGTCCACAATTAAGTCCACTTTATAATTCCATTTTTTGGCCATGTTTACAACAATATAGCTATTGCAAGGGTGTAGAAAATGTAAATAACTTGCCTCTTATTTTTCCCAGTCACCTTTCTCCTTGTCTCTCCCTCAGTTACGAATGCCTTGGAGAACAGATCATACTTGCTTAGTGCCTGAAAATTCCTTAGCTTTTAGGGGGAGCTACAGTAAATAAAAAAAAAATAAATGCTGAATTCTGTTTTCACTGAAACTAAAAAGGAAAACCATGTTATAACCTGATTTGGTGTGATTATACTGTAAATAGGCCATAAACAGTCAAAGGGAAAATAACCCACAATATTCACACCATTGAGAGACTGAGGGGGTAATCGCTGTTCCTCCCTGCTGTTCCAAATATTTTCCAAGTGTCCCCAAAACTGCATTGGCAGCAGAATGTGGCCCAATTCAAGGGCTTTAATGCTCCTGCTAAGTAGAAATGATTTTTCTCCTCGAAATTTTCAGTGAAATAGTCTGTATTTTGCAAAAAAAAAAAAAAATCACAGCTATTCACTGCAAAAGCACTAAGGAAAAGGCAGAGACCATCAGAAATCTTTCTGACAAGTCAGTTCCGTGTTTTAAAAGAGATTTGTCCAATTTAAGGAAAAGTACAAATGTTGAATTTCAAAAATAGGCATGTTCTATCTTAAGATGCCAAAGAATTTCAGTGTTGCTTGCTGAAGCTAACAGGGAGCATAACCTCCACTTTATGCGTGGGGGAAACAAGAAGAGAAATTTACCTTCAGCTCATTTTTCCCCTTTTCCCCAAGAATTGTTGCACTTCCCGTGCCACACAGAGAACTGGCATTTTAAACTGGTGGTGTAGCTTACCTTTAAGACCACAGACCTTCCTCACAAGCAGCATGGCTACCTCTGCCTGTCGCAGAGCTACGGAAGAGCAGGGAGATGCAGGGAGATGCTGTGCTTTTCCTGCCCTTTGTGGTGAGAATCTTTTTCATCTTACATCCACGCTCACTCCACACTTCCAAATATTTCCCCTTTGTGACCTATTAGTTCTCGGCGTCCTTTTGGGCTCAGTGATAGCTAAGGGTATAGTTGTTTGCTGTTATTCCAATAATATCCAGAGGCCTTACCCAGCATCAGGACCCCACTGCAGTGTGTCCTGCTTGCAGCACAATTCTGGATGTTCTCACCCTAAAAGACTTGCAAGTTAAATGAACGAAACAGACCCAGGCTGGGAGAAAGAGTCTGCATCTTGTCAGTGTCTTTGAGACCCAGAAACCGAGCCCAGCATCGTACGTGGGTACTGCAGCAGCAGAATTCTGCAGAAAATTTCAAAATATAGGGCTAAATTCATCTTGCTAACAAAGTCGTTCCCCATGAGCAATCACTCAGCTCTCTGTGGCACAATTAAACACTCACTGGCCTCCAGAGAGCACAGGCACGACTCTCTAAACTGGTGATTAAGGCGTTTGCCTGTGAGGGGCAGACATACCTTTCAGGCCTTTTTCCAGAGAGTGTGCAGTGTGAAAGAGTTAAAGTGTTCATCCGTGCAGGCTTTTCCCCTCCCGAGTCGTGGCTCCTGGCTGCTCACCTGCAAAGGTGTGCCCTGCCTTTCTGGCCCAAAGAATACTCAAATAACCAATTCGAAAGGAAATAGTTGATTTGGGACTCTTTAACAGAATAATCAACAGCACAGGGAAAGAGCCTGACACTTCCTTGGACTTAGATTCAGGTTCTCTCTGTGAGTTTAAGCATTGTCTTCTGAACACTGAGCTACTGAGTTGAAAAAGGCCACTCTCTGATTTTTGTCACCTGCTGCTTATGGGCTCTGTCTTGTCCGCGGATAAGGTTGGTGTAAGAACCGAAGGTAACTTCAGGTCTGTCAGCACAGGCTGGGGAGAAATTCTTCATTGCAGTTTCATGTTTATCCGTTATAATCCAGTGTAATTGCAGACTGTCCCTAAAATATGCTGCACTGAATTTTATAGGGCTTCCATCATCTTTTGGATCTGGGTCACGCTGATGGTACAGGTGGCTTCAAACATAAATACAGGCCGTCACATGGATGGGACGTACATTCCTGGCAAAACCGGCAGCTTTACTTATGTTTTTCTGTGTGAGAAATGATTCAGAAACAATCAGATTGGTTCTGGCTCAGTGTGGCAGATTGCACTCGAGCACACGGCAGCCTCCCAGCCAGCGGGGAGCTGGGCTAAATCACCCACTGGAAGTACGAGCCTGCTTTAGCATTTAGCACTTCCTTAGCATTTAACAGCAAAACCCAGCAGAACCACGGCTTTTGGTTTTTTTTTTTGCTTTGTCCTACTCCCTCTCCCAAGGCTCAAAAGATTGCAAATGCCTCTGGAGTATCAAAGCTTCAAATCCAGTGTAGCCTGGCTATTATTCCCTTCAGCCGTGAGCATGGCAGTTACGGGGATGGGATGAATGCTCCCCATCTGGATCATTTAAAATCTGTGTTTAGTATTAATTCTGTGGCTTTTTAACCTGACTCTCAGTTTGGAAAGCAGGCAGCTGTCGACACAGGGCGATGCGATGCCCTGTGCTTCTGCTGGACTTGCACCTGCCCGTGGTAAGAGACCATCTTGTAAGATCAGTGTGCTTGCTGGAATGGGAGGGCTAGTGTGGCTTTGGCTGAGATTAGCTACTGGGCAGAAGAACCTGCTCTGAGGGAAGGGTCTTGCCGAGAATTATGCAGGCAGTGACAGGATTATAAAGATATTGCATGTGGCACATTACAGTGGACACGCCAAGAGTCTTCCTGTTCCCTTATTCTATCATATGGACTGAGTTACACGCTGTGAAAACCACGTTCCCTGCACGAAGGAGCAGAATAAAAAATACTGTTTGGCTTAAATCTGTTCCTGCTTGTGAATGTCAATTAAATCTGTTCTCCTTCAAATTTCTTTTGTTCTGCTGCTTTTATCTTTGTGCAAATTTGCCTTGGTGACTCCTCTGTTGTCAGCCTGGTCCTGACAGATGAAAATCATGAACCCTCCCAACGTTACAAGCTGTAGGAACACGCACTTGGCTGAGGGTTAACGTGGAGTTACAGAACCCCAACCAGAGTGCGCTGGTACGCTGGCTTTTCCTGCCCTCCTCTGTGCAATTATTTTGGGGAAAGTTCTGTAGGCCAGGGAAACTGTGTTCATAACATCCACTATTTAAGCCTCTCACTCGGGCTCTTTCCTTGCAGCGAGAACTGACACACTGTCAAAGTTGACAGCACTATGCCAGTTTATTGCACCAGAAGACCTGGCCTTTCCTTTCCTCCCAGCTCCTGATCTCGGCTGCTCCCATTATATGAACCCTGTCTCAGTCCTGCCCTTAATAAAATCTCCATGCTCCATATGCTCCCTCAGCCTCCCTTTGATTAGTGCTCCCAGAGTCTTCCTCGCTGCTGACGTCGGGGGCATGCACAGCTCTGTAATTTCCCGACAGCCCTTTTCAAACACTGGCTTTTAATCAGGAGCTGTTTTACCAGCACTTCCTTCTCTCACGGCGCGCCTTTGAAGCGAGGCCGCCAACAGTGGTGGGGTTCCTTCCCCGCTGCCCTTTTTTGTTGTTTCCATACAGGATTCTAGGACAGAATTTCATAGCTTTTTAAATGCTCTGATTTTTTTTTTTTTAATTTTTTTTTTTTTCTGTGCTGTGATCCTAATTTCCTTCAGGATTTCTTCTTCATCTCCTGGGAAATTTGTCTCTATTTCTGGCATCTGTCCTTCCTAACCCTTCCCACGTTTCTCCCCTTCCAAAGACAGGGGAAAAGAATCCATTTAATATTTTTCTGTAGTAACGTCTATCTCATCTGTCAATAAATTACCCTTTGCCATCTCTGGGAGACCCCTTTGTCTCCCTTCACTGACCTTATTCTGTACCTTGCCTGTTTTTTTTGAGGGAGGATGCAATATCCCTGGGCTGTCATTCCATGAAGAACAGCTGTCATTCCTCCCATAGTGCATGCGTATGTGTTTGAGGAAGGAGGGGAAAGGGAGGGGGGAATTAGGGGAGGACAGGGATCTGCTATTGGGAAATATGGTCCTATTCACAGTGGTAAATGTTTTTTCATTCATGATATTCAGCTGCAATTCTGTCTTTTTCTTCCCGTGGTTTTAGACATTCATTTTCAGATTAACGGAAATCTTAACGCTCATCTACCTGAAATGTAACTACAAGAATATTTATTAAACATATTTTTAAAACTTACTATGTATGCGTTTTATAAATTTCTAATTTTCTTCATGGCCTCTGCTGCTGTGGATGCCATCTCACTGTGAGAGCTGCAGCCTAATGCTACAGAGGTGGATTCAGGAAGCGTTATCTGTTGCTAAAAAACATACGACTTCCGTACATTTTCAGCATTACAGACTGAAATGCTCACTGAGAGGGTTAGAGAGCATGGTATAGTCCTGCATGTCGCTAACTGGCTGTGCAGACCTGCAGAGGGAAGAGGCAGGTCCACCAATCCAGCAGTTCCTGCCCTGTCCATGCTGTTCCTTATGCTTTGTGAAGGGCTGCAGACTCCCAGGGAAGTCCTTGCAGAGCGTTCCCTGTGTTTCTCGTGGTCTGGTGGCTTTGTGCTGGTCACACGTAGCACAAGTACACGTTCCTTTCTTCCTGCCCCTGCTCCCACACACAGCCTGACCATAAATTAGTGCATCTTAGGAAAGCAAATACTAGTTTTGATCAAATTTTACCGACGTATTATTTAAAGAAACAAAAGAACTGAAAGCAATCCACCAAAGATGCCCTCACCCCTGTAGCATCTGGTAATTACACTTCTGAATGCATTTATTCTCACAATACGGAATGAAATAAGGAAATGCAGTTATTACCTACGGTGTGCAGCGGGGACACACCAAAGTCACCTGCTGCTACAAGGCATGGCATGTGCTGGGGCCCTCATTCTCCACGTACCTGAGTCAAAAAGCTGGTGGAACACACTGTGAGTTCTGTCTGATCCAGCCTTGGCGTTTCCTTTGTTCGGGAACCAGCAACAGGCACCATGTTTGTGTCACAGCCCAGATCCAGGCACGGCTTCTGGACCTGTGAGCCCAGAGGTGTTCCAAAGCCCCGGATTAGCCAACACTAGAGAGAGGCTGGAGAACTTAAGCGAAGTCAAAAAGAATGTCTAGATGTGACGTACATACCAAACTCCTCACTTCCTTGTTCTGTGCTAGCGGGACATCAGCAGAACATCTTTTCTCTTAAAAGCACTATAACTACTTATTTTACAACTGCTTTGCGATTGATGTCCACTCTGGCCCTTTCTCTCTCATCTGATGGCTCTGACAGTCCCTGCTGGGTTTAGCTGCCCTAACTGAAAAGGTAACCCATCTCCACAGCTAGAGGTAATAAATTCTTTAGCCACCACAGCAAAATACATTGATATGATCTTGAATTAAATCACTCATGTCTGCAGTTCTCAGTCCAGGACATCACCGCAAACTGGTATCAGCTGAAATCAGATTTACATGAGGGCATCAGGCTCAGGGCTGAAACAGTTTGCACTGCCCACAGCATTCATTGGGCCACCTCTTCTTTGGGATACCTCTTCTTTGGGATAGCTGCCTCCAGCACTTCAGTAATGCAGGACGGTGATATCCTAAACTTCTCCAGGGTGAATCACTAGGGCTTGGGAACAAGAGCCTTTACTCCCCTGGAAACAGCCTGTGCCTTCAGGGACTAAGGCTCTGCCTGCATATGGAAACAGGGTTTTCAAATGTGTCCTCCTACTGGTAAAACCAACCCTGCTCAGCACCAGGAAGAACGCTGGGAGTCTCCTGAAGAATGGCTCCTGGCTACTGCCGTCTTCAGGACTATCCCATGTTAATTATTCAGATCTTCTGTAAAAAGACACACCTGTGGCAACTGGCAGAGTAACTGCACAAACATTACCAGCCTCGAGGCTGAGAATCTGTTAAATAGCCTTAGCAATAGAATATTAACACCTTGATCATGAGTAAGTGTGGGTGGAATAATTGTCTGCTCAGAAAGAGGCACCTTTTTCTCATTCCATTCCTGTAGTTGAATCCTTATCTCCTGGATAAATAAAAACAAACCTCCCCAGTTATTATTGTTCTTGTTCACCTTTTGACTCTTGATTAGATTTACCACAGATACATCCCTTTGGCAATGAAAATGGAATCAACACATTTCTGATGCACTCCAGTGGAATTCTCACCCCCTGCTCCACCCTCAGACCGCCAAGGTCCTGGTTTTCTGAACGGCTGTTAATTACCTGTCCCTCTAGCCCATGGATGAGATACCATTTCTGAGAGATTACTTGCCCTGATCAACGGACTGTTCTATATCGCTTTGAATCTTTATCTTATTTTTAATCCTCGGCACTTGGAGCCAAACCTGATACCTTTCTGAAGACAGAAACTCATGGTGATAGAAGCTGCCTCGCTTGGGCTGATTCTCCCTTCTATATTTTTCAGTGTTTTCCCAGATGAGGCCCCAGGATTATTGCAAACCAGTCCCAGGAAGAAATGCTGCTCAATTAGGCGAAAAGAAACTCGAAGGAAAAAAAGGAGTAGAGCCAGCAAATTGCTTGAGATAACAATCTCCCCCCACCCGTGTGTCTCTGTAACTAAGAGGATTAGCTGAACTTTCTGTGTCACACCAAAACTGACAATAAGCAACAGTGACTTCCCCCCGCTGGCACTTGTACCTTCACATGTTTCATTTTCTTGCCCACACTACTGCCTTGCCCCTTGCTGATTGTATGACAAACTTGGGGATGAACATGATGGCTCTTTCCTTTCCTTTAAGATTTATGACTCAAAGCCAAATAAAACCCAACTCAAGTTATTACATGCTCTGTTTCCTCCTAACAACAACTCACTTTTAACAGTGTAAGCTAACCAAGGAAACATGGAAATATGGTCTCCTTGATCTCACCTGATCTATCTGCTGTTAGAGACACAAACAGCAGCCTCGGGTCTGCCAACACAGGAGCAGGCATAAAGGCATCCCTTGGGAGCAGGACCAAACGTCTGGAATATATAAAGCATAAGATCCATCAAAATTCAAAGTAACTGAGGTTCTGTGTAGATACAGCACTGCCAGCAAGGAGTTGGATGCTTATTTCGAGTTAAGATTTATCATTGCCTGGTAGGAGGACTACCCAGGGTACTCTTGCAGCGAAGGGAAATAAACTCTGGTAAAGGACTCTGTTGCCAGTCGTGGAATCGGCCTCGTGTTCCTCTGACAACGGTGTACACATGATGAAAAGTACATGGCTCGTGGCTGAAGGTGATCAAACATCAAACAATTCCAGTTTCTACAGTAAACGAATCCCTTTTGCTGAGCTGCGTAGAACATCACTTCAAACCAGTGAACAACTCCTTTCCACGGGCCTGCCGCAGAACTTGAAGGAGGAGAGGAACTTTGTTCTACAGGACAAGGCAAAGGAGGAGAGTTCTCCCACCAGCACATGGTGGGAGAACTCTCCTCCACCCTGAGCTTCCACAGAAGACCCCAGCAGAAGGTGGTGGAAATACAGAAGATGAATGTCTCTGGTACCCGAAGGGCCGCACACGGGCACACTGACCAAGTCAGCACCTGTGCCAGGGAAGGAGGAAGCAAGAGGAGGCAGGAGAAGCAGGAATGTTTTCGCGTCGACGTAAAGTAGATACCAACACCCAAAAAGGGAATGCTGTGATAAAACCAGTTGGGATGTGGGACTCAGGTGATCGCCACCAGGGTAAGGACTGGGGGAAAATGCTGTCACAACAAAATATGCAAGAAGTGTTTGGGTTGGATCATTAAAATGCATGGGACTTGCCAGTTCTTGTAAAGCATTTTACTGAACTAGGCATCTGTGCCACGTGCCCTCTCATTGCTACTCAACTCCCCGGACCTAAATTAAATCACTGTGGCACTTCTGCCATGTTAAACGGTGCGAGCAGGTACTCTCAGGCCACATAAATCCAGTGAAGTAGTGGTTTGGGGGTCCCTGTACAGCTTTATTTGCCATCAAAGGGTATGGTGTTGTGGGGGAGAAATACTTCCAGACAGATTTAGACTTTTACTCCAAAAATCTCTTCAGACTGAGGCATTGTAAAAACTGCCCAGTGTATTGCCATGGGGTAAGACTGCCTTGTCACTCTGTAGCAACCCCTGTCTCGCCTATATGGAGCAGCAGTTTTAGTTCAAAGGGGTCCAGGTCCATTCTCTTTCCCCATTTACATGAAATGGGACTAGAGTGGAGCGTGGCAGCCTATTAACAGTGCCCCACAGCACTGCAAGAGTTCTGCCTAGAGAGTGAAGGACACCGTGTCCAATTGAAATTACAGAGGAATTTGGGGTAGGCAGAATGTAATTACACAATTGAAATTTAAACTGTGAAATTAAAAGGAAATATTCAAGGATGAAGGGGCAGAGAGAATCCCTAATCTCCAGCCAGGCTAGGCTGTGTGACAGAAAAGTCCCTTTCTGAAGAGGGAATAAGTGAGGAGCTGTCCTGGAAGAAAGGGAGGTAGAGAATAAAGACAATGTTTTCAAAAGCACCCTAACTCCAGCTGTGTGTTTGTTTCATAGGCTGTGTCTATTCTACAGAAAACCTTGCGGTTGCTAAAAGGTGTCAGATGTGTCCCTCTTGGCCCCCTCTCCACCGAGGTCAGAAACAATTTGGTTCCTCATGTAAGCAGCACCACGGCATTCCCAAGGTCCACAGCAGAAAGCATGCTGGACAAAAAGAGGAGTGCAGGCCTCTTTTTTTCAAACGGGTACAAAACAGAGTTTGCCCTTCTGCCTGGAGTTTGTCAGACTGCTGGCGCTGCCGCTGTAGTGTCTGAGGTTTTACCAAGTCTTAGTTAATAATCATCGGAACAAAAAATATTTTGCATTTTTAAGGGTTGCCCTGTGGGAAAGGGAGGCAGAGAAACCCGCTGAAAGCAGATCTGTGACAGTTTTGAGTGGCAACTTGAATCAGGCAATTGCAAATCCCGCTGCCCCAGAGGTCTGAATCAAGTTGTAGGACCCCACTGTTGTCCCTCCGGGAGCAGAGACAGGTAAAGACGGAGACAGCCTTGTGGATCTCCAGGAGAGGAACAAGGACAAACTGAACAGGGTCCTTCAATCAAGGCAAAACAGATCGAAATGGGGGCTCCTCTTCTTGGGCTGCCCAGCCACACATGCAACTGAAGGCAAGTTCCTTAATTTCTCTGCCTTAGTTTGTCGTTGCTAAAAAAGCACAGTAATAATTTCCTGAATCTTCTAAGCTGGTGATTTGTAAGACGTAACTGGTTAAAATTGGAAGGTTCAGAAGCTGCATTGATGACAACCATTGAAATGCATACAAAAAACTGAGATAGAGCTAAAGTAAGTGCAGCCAAAGCAGCAGAGAGTGAGAAATAGATTGAAAAACCCACCTGAAAAGATAAGTGTCCTCTTAGTAATTACCTCTCCCTTTCCTGAGGATGTGTGAAGGTTCTGAATTAAGGGGCTTTTTTTAAATATGAAAATGAAAAACATGCTTCTTTTCGTCCGTGCTCCATTTCTTATCTCCAAAAAAGCAGTTAGCTGCACCTGGGAGGGGCAGAGTATAATGAGATGGTACAACTTTCCTGCCACAATTTTATTATCCGAGAGCTTCAGAGGATCAGCAGCAACTCTCAGAAATAACAGATTCGGGGTCATCCTTTCTCCAATTCAGAGACAACAGAATAGGGGCAGAACCAGAGCTAGAAAGCAATCTGGTCAAAGGCAGCCAGAAGAGCGTGCAGGGGGAAAAAAAGCCAGCCAATCTATGCAATGGACAGTCTCCATTTCCCTTCTGCTGTCCGTGCTCAGCACGCACAAGGTGCGTAGGAAGGAGATCTGAAGAGGGGGAAGAGCATAATGCTGGAAAGAGAAGGGATGGTGGGTCCCAAGCCTGGGGCACGAGGGTGGACTGTCGGAACAGGAGGAGGGCAGGGAACAATGCAGGAGAGAAAGGAAAAACAGCTCTGTGGTTGAAGTGCTGCAATGCACAGAGCACGTGGTGCAAGTCTGGGTCCTGCTGTATCTACTGTGACAGTGGAGGGACTACGCGTGGTCCTTGTATTGCTTTTCTTCACTTCTCCTCCATCAGGAAGGTACTAATCCTAATTTTCCCTCGTTCATTCCCTGCCACGTCTCTAAATTGGAAGCTTATTGAGGCACAGACTGTTTTTTGCTGTTCCTATCGATAGCGTGCTCAAAAAATGAGACTAACAGGGAGACTGCAGTTGCTCTGTCGGGTAAACAGACAGAAACATACAGAAAATTCCATTAACAGTCAGACAATCTGTGCAGTCTCCGAGTGAAAGGCACAGAGAGGTTTGGGGGAGGTATGCATGAAAACATAAGGGGCAAAGAACAACTGTTCTTGAGGCAGAAGCCTCTGTTAAGTATCTGCAGGACCAAAGGGAAGGCTGAAGCAAACACGGATTCTAGAGACAGGCCCTCCTGGAGGAGAGAAATCTGACGTGAACAGGACAGAGAGAAGGGGGACACCGTGTGAGAAAAGCAGCATCTGGGATTCCCATCTGAGTGGCACGGTGGAATTGGAGCAGAGCAGATAAGTTTGCTCTTAATTTCCTTATACACCAGAGCTGTGTGGGGGAAACGATAATTTCCTTCCCAGTGTGCTTTTTGCTTAAATATTGCAATTTGTGTCTCTTTTGCCCCCTGCCTTCCCACCTCGTGTTTCTTTTGTCCCCTGCCTCCCTACCTTAAAAAAAATCGTCTCTGAAACACTGCTGAATTAATTCTAACAGGAGACAGAAAATTCAGAAGGTCATAGCAATCACAGAAAATTTGGTGTTATGGGAACAAGTCAAGCAGGCCAAGGAGGGCTGGGAATTAGGAGGTATCTGGATCAACATCAAAACAATGGACACAGATATGCTGCAGGGCCTTAAAAGATCCTCAAATACCATTTCTTCCCTTTATGCATGGTGTTGATTTTGAGCACTGTATTGCTTTTCACCGCCAGAATATGTTTTTTAAAGCAAAATCCCTGCAAGAGGCGATTCTATGGGGCTGACAAGCCCAGTCAGAGAACGGAAACACGGAGTCCTGCACGGCCCTGGCTGCTCTGGGCTCTGTTTCAGCAGAGGATGTAAGCACGTTCTTAACCACCATTGTGAGCCCAGCCTCGCTGGCTGCAGCTGAACAACTCAGTTTCCTACTTAGGTCTTCTTGTGAAATGAATCCAAAGTGCTCAGCTTCTCGTAAGGCTAAGCTTTGTATCATCCTTGCGGCCAATTATCTCAAATTTCGAGTGTTTCTAGCAAGTTGCTCACGAGTAAGACACCAGTCAGGCACTGTGTGGCACTCACAACTGAAAGAGAGGTAAAATTTATCTGATAAATTATTCATCACTAATGATTTGGCCAGCTTTCCTGGATATATAGCCACAGGGATGTATGACACCTTGGGGAAGGCATCAGATAGAGATGCATTCAAAGAGAACTAGAGGAGAGGATGCAGACACAGATCCAGAGTAATCTTTACAGAGAGAGGGAGAGCACCTATGTGGCCAAAGTGAATTAAGTTCTCTTTATAGCAGGTCAATTCCAAAACACAGAGCAGATTAGTAACTGTGAACTACCGGGGGAAAAAAAAAAAAGCCCCAAACAAACAAAAAACCAACAAAACACAGGCAAAAAACCCGAACCACCAGCAACTACTTGTTTTCAGACATCTTTTCTTCAGCAGCTGCGGGTTCCAGCGAACTGTGCAGAAGCTGAGCGAGAGCAAAGGCTAAATCAGGTGTGGTAATGGGAGCAAATTCTCCCCAGCGAGAAGCTGCTGCTGTGAGGGAGGAGGTTACTGGGAAGTGGCAGGCAGGACTGAGAGGAGTCTCTGGGTGAGATGGGGAGATACGGGAGAGAATATTCAGCGCAGGCAGGATTAGAGCTGTGCAGAGTCTTAATCTAGGCAGCCCTTTCTCTACACCTTTATCTGTCCTGGTGCAGCCCCCGCGTGCTGCAGTGCTGGTATAACCTGGCCATAAAACTGGATTAACTGGCCCGCGAGGATCATGGCTGAACTGAAGAGGAGCACGACAATATGCCTTTGTTTACATGCTCACTCCTGTGAGTGAAACACAGATCTGCACGAGACAAAGTGCTTAATTGCTGGTGTAGAGTATCATCAAATGAATGTGCATGAGCAAGAATCGGTGTTAGGGGGAAGGCTTTTGCTCTTTCACAGCACACTCCTCATTTCTCTTAGTGTTCTCTGCAATAAGAAGAGGTTATTTTATAGTACGGCAAGGAAAAAAAAAATCCCATTATCAGAGGAACTTATTTTTAAATAAAAATGACAAAATTACCTTGCTGATTCACCCCTTGGAGATAAAACCCTGCTGCTGCCTCTCCCCTTCAGCCTTTCCTTTCTGGCTCTTCCCTAACACTGAAAAAAAAATCTAGTGACTGCCTCTGATACGACTCGTAATTTCTTCAGCAACAGCGTGCAAGAACAGATCCCTGACAGTTCCTCTCACTCCACAACGTTTTTAGCCCCAGAAAAAAAAATCTGGCTTGGACTCCGACCCGTTGGAGTTAATGACTCTTGGAAAACATTAAGACCAAGTCCTTATTGAATGCCACTCTACATCACCCTCCCTTTCTTCTTTTTCTGGATGCACATTACAAAGCTCGGGGATAACATGCAGTATTAAGAATGTAAGCACATTTTATTTTTACTCTGCCAAATCTGTCGAGAATTAGAAGTTTTGCCACTCTGGCTGATTGCTTGTCCTGATTTGAAAGTTTTGAATCTAAAGCTGATTTTATTTGTTGGTCCCTGTGGTCTCTGATTTGCTCCCCTTTAACGAGGGAGACATGAAACCCGACTCCTCATTCCAGGACAGTCAAAATTTGATGCGGGAAGTGTAAGAGGATAAAATATTTGGGAAAGGCATCCCAGGAGCATTGTGCTGCCCAGAACGAGGGGATCTTACGGCGGGTTTCCTAACAGAGGGGAAAGCGCTTCGGTGCAATCGCTCTCTTCTGGAGGAGAACCAGCCCCCCACCCAGGCGCCCACCCTCCTCCACGGGGACTGCAAGCTCTGTGATTCCATTCTCCTGGAAGCAATCCCTCTTTATTCACAGGGGCTTGGTTCTGCTCAGGGTCTGGGCTGTACCTGGGTGTGGGTGCAGTTTGGACAGGTTATTTCCACACCACCACTCACAGACACAGCACCTTTGGAGCACCTGTTCAGGGACAGACTCCTGACAGGCGCCTCCCCCATGCAGATTATTTGAATTTTAACTCCCCGACAATTTCCCTACCTGTCCACTACTGATTACTTCATTTTTACCTCAAAATGTTCATTCTCTCCCCTACAGATTACCTTACAGATTTTGCCCCCCAAAACATAATTTTTGTCTCCTATAGATTACCTAGATTTTAACCACCATAAAACCCCAATGACTACATTTACCTTATTCCCAAAATGTTCATTCTGCCCCTAAGGATTACCACAGATTTTTCCTTCAGAATATTCCTGTTGTCTTACAGATGACCTCAAGTTTTACCCCCAGAACTTTCCCTACCTTTCTATTACTGATTATCTCAGTTTACCTCAAAATGTCCATTCTCTCCCCTCAGGTTTTACCCCTAAAATTCTCCCTTCCATTCCACTACTGATCACAGAGTTTACCTAAAAACGTCCATTCTCTGCCCTCAGGTTTTACTCCTAAAATTCTCCCTTCCTTTCCACCACTGATTACCTCAGTTCACCTCAATATGTCCATTCTCCCCCCTCAAGTTTTACCCCTAAATTTCTCCCTTCCTTTCCCCTACGGATCACCTCAGTTCACCCCAAAACGTTCATTCTCTCAAGTTTTATCCCTAAAATTCTCCCTTTCC